GGCATGTAGATTTTTTATTTTTTTTTTTTTTTTCAGAGTGATTTTCATGTTTTCTTTGTCTTCCCTCGTCTCCAGGTATTCACAGACCGGTAATTACGAGCTGGCTGTTGCCTTGTCTCGTTGGGTGTTCAAGGAAGAAGGCGTGCTGCGTGTTGGGGCCGTGTCTCACCACCGTGTGGGGGAGCTGGCACCTCCTAATGCTTACACCGTCACCGATCTGGTGGTGAGGCTCCACTTGGGGGGGCTTGCTTGGAATGTGCTCTTCTGTTGTGTGGGCAGGAGGCGACATGGAGCTGAAAAGTACAGCTGGATCCATTTTCATACTCATACATACTTTTCATACATAAGTATTCATACATGCTTATTCTTTGACTTCTGAAAGCTGCTTTGATTACTGATACCAGAATGTGTTTACCAGAGAGGGAACTTAACTTACTGGGAGAATTCCTTAGTCTCTTTGAGCTGCTGTAGTCATATGCTGGGCTTGAGCTTTGTTTTTAGCCATCCCTGCTGCACCCTGTTGATGTGTTGTGGGTTTGTTCCAGGAATACAGCATTGTCATCGAGAAGCTTTCCAACGGAAAGTGGATCCCCTTTGATGGAGATGATATCCAGCTGGAGTTTGTCCGCATTGATCCATTTGTGAGAACTTTCTTGAAGAGAAATGGTAGGCTCCCCCTCACCTCTTATGCCTTGTGGTGGGATGCTTTCTCTCTTGGTGTGGTGGCGTTGTAGCAGGAAGACCTGTGAAAGCTTTCGCAGCTTCTCCCATTGCTTCTGTCAGCTCAGCTTTGTCACAATCTTTTCCATAGGTGGCAAGTACAGCGTGCAGTTCAAGCTCCCAGATGTCTATGGAGTGTTCCAGTTTAAAGTGGACTATAATCGCCTGGGTTACACTCACCTGTACTCCTCTACTCAGGTAAGGAATGGCGGGAATTAATTACGTAAGAAAAGAATGTTTTTTTTATATTACTGCTAAGTTGTGTTTTATCTGAACATACAATGAATTTCAATACTTCTGATTTTTTTTCTTATCTTTTGATTTGCTTTTTGAGATTTGGAAATGAGCTCCACAAAAAACTGGTAGTGGTTTCTTCTTCCTTGAGCTGGTGTTACACATTTACAGTGAATGCCCACATAGAAATAATCTTACTGTTACAGTGGCTTGATCTGTGCATGTGGTTGGAGCTGTGGAAGTACATGGGACACTGAGAATTGTTTTCTGTTTTGGCTGAGGATGTGGTTTCATCCTGGAAATGAATCGTTCGCTTGCCTTTTCAATAATGTAACAGGTTCTGGGGATTGGAGGGAGTCAGCTGGATGCAGGACACTGTATCTGTCCTTGTGTACCACCAAACTCAGAAAGAATGCCTGCTTCTTCCTTAGGTGTCTGTGCGTCCCCTCCAGCACACGCAGTATGAACGTTTCATCCCCTCGGCGTACCCGTACTACGCCGGGGCCTTTTCCATGATGGTGGGCCTCTTCATGTTCAGCATTGTCTTCCTGCACATGAAAGAGAAGGAGAAATCCGACTGAGCTCCCTATGGGAGGAAGAGCCTTTTCCCTGTTGCCATGCACAGATGGGCAGCTCTCAGGGGCCTTACTGTAACTGAGGACTGGTAGGTGCAGCCCTGGTTTGATCTTTTTTTTTCTTTCTTTTTTTTTTTTTTTTTAATCACATGGGTTGACTAATAATAGAGAAAATGAACCAGATATTTGCGGGGAATCCGTAGTCAGAATGTTTGCAAATGTGGAAATGTGTCATTCCTGGATTAGCTCAGTGCTGCTGTTTTGTTTACCTGGCCCCTTGGTTGGAATTATTTTGGTTTGAGATTAATTCCATTGTTGAAATAAAGTCTTAGTCCTCTCACTGTGCATTGAAGCAAGCTGATTATTGTGGTGCTCTGGCTGGAGGCCCCTCTGTGTGGTGAGGAGCAATAGGGGGATCAGAAGGGAATGCTTTCTGTATGGAAAATGAGTGCCGTGGGGAGAGGCGTACCACACAGAGCCCATCACTCCATCCACTGCTTTGCTTTTGGGGCTGGTGTTTTTCCATGACTCAACTCCGCTCCTGGAGTGGTGCATGTGCAGGGCAGGTGAGGATTTCACCACCACCCCTTGAGGTTAGCAGCCCTTTGCAACACACAGCCCTCATGCCCAGACACATGCACACTCCTCTGCAATAGCTTTGCCTTCCCGTGCATCTCTCAAGCAAATTAACACTGACATTTCACACTCTAGGGGTTGGAGAAACAACTTGACCTGGCAGCAATAGACTGTCAGCCTTTCTGGCTGGCCCTGCAGCCCTCTGGGAGGCGTGAGCAGGTTTGAACTTGGTAAGCTACAGAAACCTGGGGAATGCAAATCAAATTGTGCTGGGGGAATGCCTGTTGTTGCCTAGCTGTATCCTGGAGCTTGGGCTCTTTCCCCATGGCTCCATGGAATTTAGGCTTAAGGGCTAAACAACTGCTTTGTGAGCAGCCCTTAAGTACGTTTTTCCTGAATGCTGACCCTATGCTGTGCTCTTGAATGCCTCAAAAGGCAGTCAGAGGAGCGTGCAGCACCTGAAAAAGCACCAGGATTGCAGCTGTGCAAGCTGACTCTTGCCCCCATGGGCTGTAGGAGCTGCTAAAATGCATCTGGAGTGTTCTGGGACACCTTAAATGCACATGGATAAGTGGAGGATATCCCAGAAACCAACCCGGGGCGCTCTGGGTCTCTCAAAGCGGTGTCCTTGGAGCCCCAAAGGAGCTGGGCTGACAGACGGGCACAGAAGAGTAGTGCGGGGTGTCCCACGTACGCCGCACTGAAGGCTGCACCAAACGGCGCTCCGATGGGCTCTGAGCATCCCCCGAATGCCTCACAAGCAAACGGGAGCGCTCAAGAAAAGCTCCCGAGAGCAGCGCAGCGCCCACAACGAAGCGGATAGGCGGGGTGCCGCCGGGCGCGGCTCCGCTCGGCGGTGGGGGCGGGACGTTTCGCGACGGCGACGCTTTGCGGCGGGCGCGTTGCGACGGCGGCGGTTGTGGCGGCGGGCGGCGGTTGTGGCGGCGGGCGGCCATGCTTCTCACCGTGTTCTGCCTGCGCCGCGACCGCAGCGAGCTCACCTTCTCCCTGCAGGTGGACGCCGATTTCGAGCTGCAGAACTTCCGCGCCCTCTGCGAACTCGAGTCCGGCATCCCGGCAGCCGAGAGTCAGGTCGGGGCCCGCTTCCCTCGCGCCGCCCTCTCTCGGGGGTGCGCGGCGTCCGCCCGAGGCCCGTCCTGCCTCTGGAGGGCGGCGGTTCCGCGGGGAGGAGCGCGTCCTTCGGGGCCTCGGATCCCGGGAGTGAGGAAGGCAGGGCCGGCTGCGGGCTCCTCGCCTCCTTCCCCTCTCTTCAGAGAACGTTTTGAGGCTTTCCCCCGTTTTCTGGGAGCTGTGGAGGCGGCTGTGGACACGGCGCTGCTCCCACACGCGGGGAGCCGCATCGCGCCCGGTGCTGGGCTCACAGAGCTGCCCGGAGCCGGGCTGCGGCGTGCTGGGGGGACCCCGGAGGGAGTTTCTCAGTCTGCTCTCTGCCTTTTGTCACAGTTTGCTCGCAGGCGTTGTGCAGCTGGACAAGGCAGTGTCAGCTCTGTCGCTTTATCTCGGCGTGCTTGGCAGAGTTTGTGAAGTTTTGTTTCCTGAAGTTTTTGCTTTGTGAGCCATTTCCCACTCTACATTAAGAAGGCGTTTTTCCAGTCAAGTGGATGTTAGTCAGCGACGGAGGACTGTGAGACAGGAAAGCTGCGTGCCCTGCTGAGCAGGTTCCCAGGGCCTCACCTGGCTTCAGACTGCTTTCCTCTGCCCTCGTGAAGCTCTGATTTTGCTGCTTAGTGATGAGAGGCACAATGCTCTCTGGTTCTGAGATTGACATGCCGGTGTGTGGGGATTATTGTGCAGTAGAACCTGTGCTCAACACTGGAGCAGCTGTAGACATTGGTTTGAGTTGAGAGACACCCCTGAGAAAGTGTAAGGGGATGGTGTTGATGTAACCTTTAACACAAGAATGAAACCATTGCCTAACTTGTTTTCCAGAGCAGTAGAAAATCAAGGTTATGTGGATCTTGCATTAGGAAAAAAGCTCTTTGTCTATGAGAAGTAGAAAGGGAGCCACAGCAGTGTATATAGGGCTCCTGCCTTCTGGGCTTGCTTGCAATGCTGTGTTACAGCCGATGAGGCACCAGCATCTCTGATGACTCCTACAGCAGGTGACAGGGCCAGCCCCTGCTATGTGACAGGGATGTTCTCTGCCCTCCGGAAGCTGTGAGCGCTTGGTAGCTCAGTGACCTTGTTTGCAAAGCTGCCCCTCTTGCGTCACGGTGACCTGTCAGCTTTGCATCTATTTCAGGATAGCAAGGGCTCACGTACTTCTGTGCATGCTTTTGCTGGGAGTTCCCTTTGCATCTTTGCTCTGCTGCAATTAAACTGCCGCAGCTTTGTGATTACAGGGACTACAGGTAACATGGGTCAACTCTGCTTTTCAGGAGTGCTTCTGCTTGCTTTCTGTTCACCTGTCTGTTTATACATTATTCTGTTTCCTTTTAAAAATTTTTTTCCAAGTGTGAATTTATTGTTCCTTCCCCTGCTCTTTCTGTCTGCGTTTGTGCAGTCTTCTTTGGATCTTCAGTAGAAAGAAGGCTACAAAACATAAATTATCAGCAAAGCAGTTCTGTCAAAAGATTTTGCATGCCTAAACTACCCCCAAAACCAGGGGACAGTGTGGGTCCTTGTGTTGCACCCATCAAATTTGGTTTTACTGCACATGACACTCATTGCCTTACGGTAACACTTACTGCTTCCTGGCAAAAAAAAGAAGATGCTTTTAGTAGCGAGGACCGTGCAGGGTCTGTGAACCACAGAGTGAGTCTGAGTCTTTATCATTTGGTGAAATTCATTCCGGGCACTGTAGTTTGGGGTGGAGGTGACTGGTGAAGCCCATGGCTTTGAGGAGTGGAGGACTGGAGGGTGGCACAAGATAGTGTGTGAGCTGCAGCTGGGTTGTGCTGATAAGGGGAGGTGTAGCAGGAAGAGCAGAGGGCAAGAAATTTGGCTCGCTGTTTTCTCTCTCGCATCGAGCAGATGCCTTTTGTGGAGAAGAAGAGGGAACCTGGAGTTAAAACTGACTTTTCTGTGTCGTTCTGGCAGTGGTGGTATATCCTTCCTCCCTCTATGTGTACGTTGGGTCGATTTGTAGCACTGTGGGCTTCTTTGAGAGAGGAATGTTCCTGGTGTATGAGCTTTATTTTGCTGACAACTGATTTCATGACTGGGCTTTCTTGCTTCATGAAGACGTTCTCCCCGGTGCCACTGTGGAGAATCCACACTATGTGGTGTGGCTGCCTGCTTCCTGCCTGGGTTGCCTCTGGATGAGCTCGTGCTGTGGCTGCCTGGCTGGCATACAGCTCTGAATGCTGCAAACTGCATAATTGGACTGAAATGAGAAATGAAATCAGTTCGTTTTAGCAGCAAAGCGGAATGGGTCAAACGTGCTTTAAGCCTTGCTGCTGATGGATGTGGAGCGAGTGCTGAGCACTTAATGCACTGTCCAAGGCGTTAAGGCTGAATGTTTGTAAATCCAATCCTAGCAAGACGACAGGGGTAAAACCTCACCTAAACTGATTAGCTCATGTCTCTTAGAGCGTCTGCACAGAGAAACTGTCATTTAAGATTTGCGCGTGCAGCTGGGATTTGCTGCAAGCTTACTTTCTCCACAGACAGCAGTGCTCAGAGTCAGGCTGTGTGTGTATGTGTGGTCATGTGAGAGGATGTGCCCATCACAAGCCAACCTTAATAATGCCAGTAACGCGTCTGCATGCCTTAGTGTAGTTTGCAGGTGGGTCTGTGTTCACTTTGAAGGGGACTCACAAGCCAGTTGAGTGCAGTACCGTTGATGCTGTAGTTACTGAGAGGGTAGAAACCTCATCTTTGTTGCTAATGGTGTGTGTTTTTCCTGTTCTGATAATTCTGGCACAGAAGCCGTAATGTTTAACAGATACGGTTACTGGGATGCCAAAGACACATCTTCAACAGAACTCCTGTTCTTTTAAGGAGAATGGTAGAGGTTTTGTGGAATCAGAAGCCCAGAATGTCATTCTGGTCACAGGCAAGTCTTGTGACGGTGCACATCTGCAGTAATTGCCTGTTGAAATTTCAAGGAAAGCATGGACATAATTTAGGACATCTGTAGGTATTACAGATCTAGTGTTAGTAGAAATGTTCCTACATAACAAGTAGAAATCTTTTGTTTCCATAACGATGGTTATTCATTTTTTATCTCAGTATGTTTTTATATTTGTTGAGTTAGATTAGAAAATCATAATAGAAAAGGGTGTGACTTTATGTATTATAGTCAGAAGAAATTGATTCCTTGATTCCTGCCACTGGTTGCAGTGATGTTTGGAGGCTGATGGTTTGGGTCTGAGTGGACTTACATCGCTGAAGTAAAGCAAAAATGGCTGAGATAATCACAGAAGTCTCTCTGAAAAGCAGTTGTTGTGGGGAGCTGTGTTCTGGGTAATGGAAGAAATTGTTGCTCTGTAGATGATTCAATCCACTGTCTGTCCTGATGGATGCTGCCTGCATGTATACAGCTGAGTCTTTGGTTAGCAAATGCAGAGCTGGGTGAAGGTAACGCTATGGGAAGCAGTCACGAGCTGGGTAATAACAGAGATGTGATTTTGGAAATGTGTGGCAAACAGGTCTGGTGTAAGCTGTTCTTTCCTTCAAAGATCTTGGCCTCTAATTAAGAGACGAGCCTTTCTCTGAGATGCTGAGCTTTGAGAAGTGGTTGCTGGCTTTGGATAGGAGAGATGCTGGGTACCTGCCCAACCGCTTCGTGTTAAGGTCTGCCTGTGCCTGAGGTCCAGGTGCTTGGGCAGGGCTTGTCTGTGACTGTGCTCAGGGCTGCACGCCTGTTCTGAGGCTTGAGGTGGGCCCACAGGAGTGGCTGAAACATGTTTCTAAAAAGAAAGTAAGTCAGATCCTGATCTGCTTGGTCACAGTTGTTGTTTTCTCCTTGCGTTCTCCCCGTGAGCAGATTGTCTATGCGGAGAGGCCTCTCACTGACAACAACAGATCCCTGGCCTCCTATGGCTTGAAAGATGGAGACGTGGTGATTTTACGACAGAAAGAGACCATAGAGCCACGGCCCTCGATCCGTTTCCCAGGTGAGAAGTGATGCATTTGCTCTGAGCATCTGAAGGCTTTGCTGTTGTCTCATTAGTCTCTAACACCTTGCTAGGCAAAACTTCAGAGGAAGGGTAAGCTGTGGCTGGGGGACCTCCAGAATTAGCTGAAGGACTCATCATTTGGTGGTTCTAAGAAAGCAAAGAATGTTTCACCATTCTGGGGAAAGTTCAGAAACCCATGTAGCTTGCTCAGAACTGCCGTTTGTGTAGAGGTGTGTGACTGTTCATATATGGCTGCTCCTTTCCTGTTCTGTGCAGTGGTGCAGGAATGTGTGCTCAGGGTGGCTCAGGTGCATTAAGGGGCTCTTGCAGTACATGCTCCCATCTGTATTCGGACAGATACACAGAGAAACTGCATCTTAACAAATGCAGGTACGCAGTCATGCACACAAGCAAGAGAGTCCTTGAATACTGTGAGTGTGCTCCTGGTCTTACCTCTCTCCTGCCTTCTGCACCGATTCCTATCAAGTCCACTTCTTGAAAGGATTGCTGCCTGAGGAGGTCTTGGGTGAAGTTCTTGTCCTCCTGCTGTGGCTGGAGGGTTACCTGCAATGCACTTGCAGAAGTGTTGCTTTTTTTTTTTTTCTTTTGCTTGAGTTTTTCTTTCTTTCTTTTTTTTTTTTTTTTAATTTCCACTCAGAGAGATTGAGAAGTGCCTTAGGCACTGGGTTTAGCCTCGTGTTCCTTCTGTGCTGTTCACATTTGTGAAGCTGGACTAGTGTGTGATTCAAAAAGTGCATTTCTGGGGATGCAGAGCAGGCCAGTTACATAAGGAAATGCCAGCTTCCCTCACCCAGTAATCTGGCTGTGTGGCAGTGTGCCTCTGTACTCAACACCTCTACAGAGTGGTGTGGTTAGGTTGGTATCTACAGATCCTATAGCTAGAAACATTATCACGGTGGAGAGGGATAATCAGAAATAAATGAAAATGCTCACCATGTCCTAGGCTCACAGAAGAACTCCGCAAGGAGTTATGTCCAGGAAGAGATCCTTCCTCAGTGGCAGACAGCCCTGACATGGGGTCCAGGAGAGGTGCAACCAGGCTCTACCACTTCTGGTCACACAGCTGAATTGCCTTCACCTGTGCTCCCATGGCTGACTCTGTTTACCTCAGATCAATCAGAGGTTCAGGCCGTGATTCAACAGTTCCCATACAGCACCTGTTGCAAACTGCTGTTAAAAGGACCTGGTCTAAGAGCCTAGCATTAAGACCGACCTACCTTTCCCATAGTTATTATACTTACTTTTTTGAGCAGAACTGCAAATAAGAAGTGCTGATGTGTTTGCTCTCTTTTCCCTCCAGCCCTGCCAAGGATCGACTTCAGCAGCATTGCGGTTCCTGGGACGTCGGCTCAGCAGCGTCAGCCACCAGCACAGCGTCTTCGCCCGTCGCCTCCCGATGCGCCTTTGTTCCCTCAGGGTTTGGAAAACCCAGCATTGCTACGGGAGATGCTGCTGGCCAATCCCCACGAGCTGTCCCTGCTGAAGGAGCGCAATCCGCCCTTGGCAGAGGCGCTGCTCAGTGGAGACCTCGGTAGGTCGGGTTTTTCGCTGCAGAGGCGGTTCAGAATCTGTCTGCGCCCAATTCCAATGCCAGTTACCATACCCCAGCTGCCTGGGGTCCTCGCTGCTGGCTTATTGATGGTGTTCATGCAAGGCGCTGGTTGGAAGCGCTGGTGGCAGAGTTCCTCTCTTTCTAGCCGTTTGGGTGTGTTTCTCCAGGTTGGGTTTTTGAACTGCCTGTGTCCCCTGCTTTGAAGTACATGCATGGATTAGCTGAGTTTCTGTGAGTGCAGGTGGCTCAACTCCTGATTTTTTTTTTTATGCTGAGTCTCTGAATGCACTGCTTCCACTGCTGTGCTGTGTTTGCAGCACTCCAGAGGTCAGCGAGAGCTCAGCTGAGAGCAGTGTGCTCTGAGACCATCTCTCCTTATAGTGGTTAGCTGCTGAAGAAGCAGACATCAAAGAGAGAGTGAAAAAGGAACCAGTAGATGGTGTCTTTAGGGAGCGTTCCCATTAGGAATAGTCGTAAATGTTTACATCTCTCTTAATCTTGGAAGTGTAGTTTTGCAGTGGGCACTTCACATAGCATAGATGAATTGTAGTACAGCATCCCCCATTTTCTCTGCAGCTGATTTTATTGTCTTATTCTTTGTCTGATTAAAGTTTTGATCTCTAGTCCCCTTTTAAGTACAAAGAATGGTGTTTTGGGCATTGAATAATGTCCTTCTAAGCCTCTGCAAGTCTTTAGATAGGAAATAAATCTGGTTGAGCTTTGGGAAATGATTGAAGAGAAGAACCATGTAGCAGACTTGTTCCCTTTCAAGGTTACATGCTAGTGATTTATCTGTTAAAGAGGGGAGCTCACATGGATGTTGATGACTACTGCATTGTTTACTTCGGACTTCTGCTCATATCCCTGTTAGTTGTGTTGTTGTGTGATGTTTTTTTATGCCTCCTTTGAGTGTTGCATCTGTAGTACAGAGCAGTTTTCTCATCAGCCGGAGAAGAATGTGCTGCAGCTGGCATGAGATGCAATGTCAAGCCAGGACACCCACATCTGGCTCACCTGCTGACCTGTTTTGTCTGTGGTGCACATAAGGCTTTACCTCAGGTGTGCGTCTTTAGTTCCAAATCGCTGCAGTGGGATGCCAGAGGGAAGTGCTTTTATCTGGTTGTACTCTCATTGTTTTGTACTGCTGCTATGAGTGTTTCTGTTCTAATTCTGATGTCCAAATGTATGAACAGATGTGTACCATGTGGCTGTGCTGGGTGCATTGTGGGCACATCAGAAAGCACGTGCTCTGTGGAAACTAATTAGATAAAAAAACACCAGAACAGCCACCAAATGCTTTCCTGAGCACGTAATTGTCTCTGAGCCAGCAAGTTTTTTGATGGGAATTGCATTTCTTGAAGCAAAACCACAACCTTCTGTGTTTACAGAACTTAATTTATTACCAGGTCTCTTTGACATATACTTGATCTGATCTAAACAGTAAAGAATAGTCAGAAGGCATCTGAAAAATGGAGATCTGAAAAACATGCAGCTAAACCTCCTTAAGCAAGTGCCTCTCCTCGCACCTCTTGACTGCAGAGTAGGCATTCACCTTTAGGGATAATAAAACCTGTGTTGCTTGGGCTTAAAAGTAAGTTCTGTTCCTATTTATGCCTTTGGATCTTGAGTTTGCTCTTTGCTGAATTTACAAACTTATTTTTCAGCAGATTGCTGAGTGGAAAACGTGGTAGATTTTGCAAGCTGCTCTTGTAGATGGGCTGTCTTGTTCAGAGCAGTGAAATCTCACTTCTCTGTCTGTTGGGAATTCTTCAAAATACACATGCACAATTCAAAGAAGAAGCTTGAGGGAGAGTTCTGTATTCCTGATATCTGTTGCAGGTGGTTTTTTCCAGATTTTTGGAGTAGTTTGTAGGCAACCCTTCCTGCAAAAGAACAATGAGTTGCTGTTTCAATAGCAGCTCTTACTTTTAAATACTGTCTCTTTTTTTCCCCCTGCCCCCACTGCCCTTTTTTTTTTTTCTCCCTACAGAAGAGTGAGCACAAGAGAATTGAGTTTGTTTGTGCCCTACTGGCATTGCAGTGTTTGGGTAGCAGAACAAGGAGGACTGGCTCTGTGCAGTTCTTTTTCATCTCAGCAGATTCCCAGATTTGGCACCAACATTTAGGGTCCATCCGTGCTGCCTTCAGATGAAGCCTCTTGTGCTTGTGCAGCTGATTCTATCTTTGATTGCACGTTGACACAAAAAGAAGTGTTTGCTGTGGCAGAATATGATTTGTAAGAGTAATTTCCAGTAAAAAGCATTCCTGTATGTCTTTATTACTGCAGATAAATTTACCAGGGTACTGCTGGAGCAACAGCAGGACCGAGCCCGACGGGAACAAGAGAGGATCCGACTGTATTCAGCTGACCCTTTTGATCTTGAGGCACAAGCCAAGATAGAAGAAGACATAAGGTAGCAAACCAAAGTCACTAGCAGGCTTTGGAGATCGTCATGGTGTTTTTTTTTCCGGAGGGTGCTTCCCTCCAACTTGGAGGCTACAAAGAGTGTGTTCAGAAAGCAGATCCTGCCTTAATAGAGAAATCTGCCTTTGGGGTTATGCTTTGAGCCACCTTAGCAAGTGGTAGGATTGAGAACTGGGGACGTGTGGTTGTGCACAGATGAAGCAGCAGCACTGCTGTGTGTGTGAGGTCTCAAAACTGCCTAAGTTGGGCCTCTCTGAAACCAGTAGAGTTGTGGAAAGCAGTGAGCATATTCAGCTTTTTGCTGAATAGCTGCATCCTTCAGAGGTGGTACTTATGTGCCTTGGTTGTGTCTTGAACCTGAGGACCTGTGCTGGTCTTTGACCTGAGCTCTCTGCACAGCAGTGGTGTGTCTCCTCCCACGCTGGACTCTGCACCTCACTGCTATCAGAAGAGGTCTATAGAAACATGTTCTGCTCGTGAGCCCTTGCTCCCTCTGTCCGTCTTCCACGTGTAATTGCATGGGGGTGAGGCATGATTTCTTAAATGGAATGATGAATCCTTGAGCTGGAATGTGACTTGCAGTTTAGTCCTTGTTAAGGAAGTGTCCTTCTGACATGGGCTTACTGTTGATAATAGCAAAAGTTAATTTGTGAAGAGTCATTCTTGCATTATGACTGACAAGGTGTTGGTACTGGATAATGGCTTAGCATAGCAGTGCTGAAAAATACAGTGCGTGAATTTGTTGGTAAATCATTGCTTGGAGGCAAAGGAACACTTTCCTTGCTCAGTACATGAGGGAAAATTGGGGCAGATAAAGGGAATATGTCCAAGGTTGTGCAGCTGTTGGGTAAAACTTGGGCATCTAGCAGTCCCCAGGTTTCACAACCTGTTTAGTATCTCAGGTTACTGGAATTCTTGCTTAATCAGCTGTCCTCTGCCTGAGATTGATTGGGAGTTCCTGCAGGCATCCACAGTTTCTTGAGACACATCTGTCCTTCTGTGGAACATCAGGAACGGAGAAAACAGAATAATGGATTCAGCAAGAAAACTGAACCTGCAAATCAGCTGCACTATATCTGATTTAAATGGAATAGCAAAAGACAACATAATGTGAAGCTCTTTGTTTCACAGGCCACTAGCAGCAGGGTAGCAGGGGGCTTTAGCTTCCACGTGAGCCAGGTCACTGTTAGTTGCTCTTAGCTGTTTTCCTCCCACACCAAAAAAACACATCTATCCGTCCTGCTGTGGGAAGGCTACAGAAAATGCATGAGAGGAGCTTGGTTTTATCTTTGCTGTCTGAGGAGGAAACGTGAAATGGCATTAAAATGGGAAGCCCATGTCCTTTCTTAGATAAAGCTGTTTAAGATGTAGTCAGTGTGGATACCTGTTGCTTTCAAGGTTGCTGTCAGGGCCACGATTTGATTCTCAGTGTTTTTTTCTGTAGGCTTGAATTTGCAGCGAGGCATGTGCTCGTAGCAGTGTTCTCACTGCAGTTTCAGTTATAAGCCTCCTTTCCTTTGCCTGAGAGAGGCAAAATACCAGGGAAATGCTGGAGGATTTTAATGTTGAGCTGCGCTGTGGGATCCCAGTGTTGTAGCTACTGGCAGCATCTTCATCACATGCCCTGTTTCCTTCAGAGTGACTGATTAACTTGCTGGTGTTTGCTTACAAGTTCTCCATGTTAGCTCTGTGATGATGGGTTTCTTGCCGACAGGTCATCACGTGCAGGTGTGCTGCAGTGTGAGCTGTGCAAGGTGTGGGGAAGAGCAGTCCTCCTGGCTGCAAGGGAAGTGGCTTGGTATGTGTGAATTAAGCCAAGATCATTACTAGCAATCCCTCTGCTGAGAAGGCTGTGTTTAGCTAAGCAGTGTTTGTTGTGGTTTAGAAATGATGTTTGTAGCTAATGCAAACTGCAGCAGGTGGGGTTGTCAGGTCTGTAAATCAGAGGGATGCTCATAAGGGTTTGCTAATGAGAGAGGTCTGATTTTTTTTTCCCTTTTTTCTCTGTTCAATTTAGGCAACAAAATATTGAAGAAAATATGACGATAGCAATGGAAGAGGCGCCCGAGAGCTTTGGCCAGGTGGTGATGCTTTATATTAACTGTAAAGTCAATGGACATCCAGTGAAAGCTTTTGTTGACTCAGGTGAATTACTCCTGCTTTCATCTCTTTCTCCATTCTCATTTCCCTCATTGAGGGAGAGAATAAACACTCAAAATTTTTGCCTGAAATATTTGTTTGTTATAAAGCACTGTTTTACAAGATTTTAAAGCACCTAATTAAAATCTCAGAACAATCTGGGCTTCAAGGCAAACTGCCAATTGTGGAGACTGTTTGTGGAGCAGCACAAATGAGTGGCTGAACACCCCAGGTCAAGGCTCCTGTGAGGATCTCTGGTGCCTCATGGCTGCAATGCCAAAATGGTCACTGCTGGGCGTGTGCCTTATTTTAGTTTACAGATAGGGGAACTTTGCCAGCCTTAGTGCTGTACCTCCCATCCACCACGTTAAAGTACTCAGCTCTGCAGCAGTATGTACCTTACTGCCCACGCTCATCTGTGAGTGTATACATCGTAAATTCAAAGCTGTGGGTTTCATTAAAAAAAAAACAAAAGCCTTTTATGCAGTGACACAGTTGCCTCATGCAGGTGATGTGGTTTCCCTGCTACCGAGTCCAAGATCTTAAGCCCTTCCAGGAGAGTATTTTAATTTGTGATGCCCTGTCAAGACTTCACACAAATTCTGTTGCTGTTAGGTGCCCAGATGACCATTATGAGCCAAGCTTGTGCTGAAAGGTGCAACATAATGAGGCTGGTGGATCGGCGGTGGGCTGGCATTGCTAAAGGTGTAGGCACTCAGAAGATAATTGGCAGAGTGCACTTAGGTAAGTACTGCCATTCTTAGCTTTAGCAACACTTCTGACTTGAGCCTTCTGTCTCGTGTAATTCTTTTAGATGAGGGAACCTGCAGCTCCTGCAGTTGAGAAACTGTTCACTCCAACTGCAGAAGTGGGGTTGATTGGGTTCATTCCCAGCAGGGAATTTCCTGTTGGGGTGTGACTGTTGAGCAGTGTGAGTTGCACAGGAAGAGTTCTAAATTGGTGGAGCATTTGATCCTCTTCCAGGAGGAGAAATCTGCATGTGTGTGCAGGTTTTCTAGATGAGAGAAGGTTGTCCCTATTGTATGAAAAAGGTCATTCTTTTTGCTGTTCTTGCTTCTTAGGCTTGTGCTCTAATGAACTGTATGTAGCTCCTCTAGCTCTGGCTTGGAAGCTTAGATGAGCAGTACTTAAGGCTCTAAGGCCAGAACAGCTTTGATGATTATTCACTACCCAAGACCAATGCAGGCCTGATCGTCCCTGTGTTTGCTCACAGCTGGGCTTTTGACCAAGGCTGTATATCAGAGTCCTGATGTCAGCTCTCCCCAGTGTGATTGTGCAAGCCTTTCCTAGGGGATTAAATAGCAGAACATAATGTGTTGCACTGTAGCTTGCAAGGTGATAACTCTTCTCCCTTGTGTTCCAGCTCAGGTTCAGATCGAAGGGGATTTCCTGGCGTGCTCTTTCTCCATCCTCGAAGAGCAGCCCATGGACATGCTTCTCGGACTGGATATGCTTAAGAGGCATCAGGTAGCCAAACCAGTTTTGAAATAGTTATTCAGTTTTTTAATCCTAAGGCACTAAGCACAGTGTAAGCACCATACCTGGGAATGGTGTAGGATTTTATGGGAAGAGAAAATAGTGGATTATTTTTCAACCAGTCATGAAAGGAGTATTTATGCGATGTGCATCACAGGTGTATGTATAGGGTGTCTGGCTGCTCCCTGAAGTTTTTTGCTCAGATCAAAGACACTCGAGCTTTTCAACTGAATGATTAAATACAAAACAAGTCAAGTGGAGGCCTCTGCTTACAGCTGATGCTTTCTGTCCATTTTGCATAATGCTATGAGCCGCTGCCATTGGAAATGGCTTGTTCAGCCTTGTCTCTTCTTCTGGGAACTGATGTGCTCTATATAAGCCCCTGATGTCTCAGTGTCTCTTTCGCAGTGTTCCATTGATCTCAAGAAGAATGTGCTGGTGATTGGCACGACTGGCTCACAGACCACTTTCCTCCCAGAGGGTGAGCTCCCGGAGTGTGCCAGGCTGGCTTACGGGACTGGGCGAGAAGATGTGCAGCCAGAGGAGATTGCAGACCAGGAACTAGCAGAAGCAATACAGAAGTCTGTAGAGGAAGCAGGTATTGTAATGAGCTCAGATGAAATATTAATCTGCTTGGTCTTCTTGTTGTGTGTCAGAGTGCCTGTTGACAGTCACTGGAAGATCCTTTCTCCTTTTCTCAGTTTCTACTGCAGCATCAGTGAGCAAAAGGTGGAGAGAAAGGGGCCTTGTTCCTGGTTATTGCATCTAACTGCACCAATCTTTTCCTTTCTATATAGCAAAATCTGTCTGCACGAAGGCATTTGGGCATGCTTGCTGTTGAGTTTGTGCTCTTCTTGCAACATTTCTAGCAGCTCTGATACCTTGGTCTTCAAAGATAAGTGGTTGTCTCTGGCACCCATTCACCTGGTTTGAATTGCTGTGCAGCAGGTACACAACTCAGTTATGTTTGTTCTAGCAGCCTCGCATAAGGGCAGTATGGAGGTGACTTTCATCAATCTGATTCTTAACAGATACAGCACACAAAAACAAACGAGCCCTAGCAGTAAGTACAGATCTTAGTACATGAGGAATAGCAGTCTCAGCAACTACTCGAGTCTCACGTGTGCAGTGTCTGAGACTGCGTCAGTGTCTGATTGCTGCCCCTCTGCTGAGGAGCTGTAACGTAGCAGTGCTGTTAACTTGCAGCTTATGCCCAGCCAAGACAGCACAAGTTCACGGCAGTTTTTAGAAACATGCAAAACACTTTGCCATGCTTAAGCTGATAAAATTGGTTTTCTGAATGATTTTCTTGCTAATTTTTAACTGTAGCATGATTAAAAATCAAAGTCTGATAACTGTGTGTGCATGCACATAGTGAGAGAAACATAACAAAGTTATAGTGCACTGTTTTTTTTTTTTTCTTTACTGCTTACCACTTGCTGCTTGATTGTCCAAAGTGTAATCAGTGATGTTTTCTTTTTTTTTGCAAATAACCAGTTGGCTTACATAAGAAGAGCACACATCCTTTTGAATTATTTTCTTCTATTTTAGGCATGTAAGCTTCCCACAGATAGAAAAGCTCCAGAGGAAGGCCAGACTTGAGTATACCAGCAAGAAATGAGTTACGTTTTGACTTTCTAAGCCAGTCTTTGAATGCTTATTAATTTAACTTCCAGCAAGTAAAGAGGATAAATAGAAATTTGTCCTTTCTCTGCCGAGTTTTGACATCCCTAGAGGTCAGGCTCGTTGGATTGGGCTCATGTCTCTTCACATAACCTGGAAAATGTGGAGATCAGCTCTTCTCCAGTTAAAATTGCAGGCATTGGAGTTGGTTGGACTTAGTACTCTGGTGAAAGGATCAGTCAGAAAGCAGACCTCTTCATCTGAAACAATGTGTCTCTGTAATTATAGCATTTTAGGCGAGTGCTTTGAGATGAGAAGTGTCTAAAATGACTTAAAGCTGCTTATATACCAATACAGTTCTAAAAGCAAAGAGACTTTTTGCTCAGGCTGATCAGCAGTCTACCATTTCCATTGCTAGAGAGCGCTGGAGAAACTTAAAAGGTTTATGACAATAGGAAATTGATTTTGTATGCTTACTTACCTGTGGAACAGTAATGCACAAAATTAAGGTAGGTCTTGTTTAGATGGACTATATGCAAGCCTTGGGCCTCTTACAAGCCTTTGGTTTGCAGGAATCTTGTTAGCTGTATTCTGAGATGTCAAAATGTGAACTCAGACCCTCTTGCTCTCTTCCAAAACTATTAACTGCTGCTAGATGGCACCAGAAAAAAGCGAGAGAAAGGCCTGTAAACAGGAGAGGGGGAGAAAGAGAGCAGCATCAAGGAACCTCAGCTTCCCACAAGGCCCGCAGCTCGAGTGATACAGAAATCACTCTGTAGGTCTGCAGGCGATCAGAGTTCTCAAGAGCTTATCCCATGTGCAGCTTCTCATCCAGGCAGCCTTGATGTAAGAAAAGCATCGCCTTTCGTATGTGACTCAGACTTTTCCTGATACAGAGAGGAATCTATCCCTGATGATGCACTTTGTGGAGAGGAGTTTGTTCCTGGTGTTAGCTGGATGGTATCCTTGGTGAGGCTGGGATTCAGCTCCTTTGGGAAGAGGATGACAGTGAGTCTCAGCAAGAGCTGAGAAGTGCTTGGCAGCATACCAGCTGCTTCTACCATTGGAGTGGCTGTGACTCCCTGATGACCCTGAATACAGAGTGAAAAGACCATTCTGTTTCCTCTCTGAGGTACTGGCTTGGAAGAGAGCTCAAACATAGTACTGCTGCATAGAAAAAGATCTGTTGTTTTCATCTGTATTCTGTGTCTCAAGCCTCTTTGCCACCCATGTCAAAGATGAGCAGTCTGAAAATGTGCAGGATAATGCTGGATTTTAAATATGCCAACACTGTCAAGTTGTTGTAGCTTCATTAAAGTCAGACGTGCAACCAAGAGAAAAGATTGCTCTGGTACACAGTGCAGCAGCAGGCGCACAGCGTGTATCGATGGGAGGTGTGGTACCGCAGCATTCAGTACACTGTTTGTATCCCATGGAGAACAAAAGAAGCAAGTACCTGAGGTGAAAAAGGTTGACTTCTTCCGTGACACGGAACAGGAGGCACGTCCTGGCTGTACGTGAGCAGGGTTAGTGCTCTCCAGTACTCCTGGATATCTGTAAAAAGAGAAGGACTTGAGGTTAAGCGGTTGTATATGCTTGGGACCTTTGAGTTTGGAGACCTTTGGGAGGGAAGGGGAGCATATGCAACAAATCATCCAGCACAATCTGAACAGCTGTTTGAGTATACGACACAGAACAGAGTAGAACTTTAATGGAAGAATGGATGCTCTTTCAGCAAAGGTCAAGTTGGTGATTTGACAACAACATGAGAGCTGATATGTTAGCAAGACTAGACCATTAGCAAGATACGCTCACTTCTTCAGTCTAGCTTGATGCCTAGACCCAGTGTGTAGTGGTCTGTAGCGGTCTGCAATTAATCTGTCCTCCATGTGGAGTAGGAAGCAGTGAGCTTTGTGACTTCTGGCTGTCTATTTCTTTGCTTTGTTCTTCAGTGCCTCAGGAAGCAATTCCTTTTTGGGATTTCTGCCCTATGATCTTTGTTTCCCACTTGCAGCAAGCTGATGTTTGCTCATCTTCTCTTGCCTGTGCTGGCATGATCCCCTGCAGGGCAGTAGCAGCTGGGAGTGTGGTCTGAGATGCCATTTCATGTCTTGTTTCACTGAAGCATGTCTCCTGAATGTGGCTGTACAGGGAACAAACAAGCACACTAGACATCTTCCCTGTGCTGCAAATATGTTGTCAGGTGTGCGTGTCGCTCGCAGACCGCTCTGCAGTGTACAGAACAACCTTTCAACTGTTCTTCAGCAGGGCTGTTTTTGACCTGATATAGAGAATTGCCTGGGCAGACCTGCTGTTGGAAGCTGGGGAACGTGAGGAGCCCCTGCTGCTCATGTGCTGTCTTCATGGATGGTTGGGAGGGGAGCTGCAATGTTGCAGGACTATAACCATGCATGTCTTGTGCTCTGAATGCTAACACGAGTTTGGTGTGTTTGTTTCCTAATCCAAACAGAACGTCAGAAGCCTTGATGCATGTAGTGTGTGTTTACTGCAGCTGGAGTGGGCCACAGACCAGGTATTTATAGACATCAGTTCATAAGCTTTCACTACAACGTTCACACTACTCGCAGCAAGACCATCCTCCCTCTGAGCTCCTAGGGTGAAACCCACGTGATGTGAAGTTACCAACCTGTTTAAGAGTGTGAGAGAACATCCTGCTTTGCTTGGCCAAAGGCAGCAAACCTGGGTTGCATGTATGAGGAAAGGTGGGGCCCTCTGCTCATGCAAAGGAGAGCCCTGTGACTCTGACCTTCCATCCCGTGCTTTCCAAGCAATGTTTGTTTCTTACCTAAAACACTTCTGTTGCCTCAGCCTCAGCCTCAGTTGAGCAGAGGCAATGAATTCTTTGACAGTTCAGGGAACTGATACGCAACACGTACACACATACACACAGAAACAAACCACTGGAACCTGCTCCAAAACTTATGTCCTAATATAAGTTTGCAGTGGATCTGATGAGCTTGAATACCACCGTGCTGTTAGATGGGTATTTGTGTACTGCTTTCTCGAAGCGGCGTACTGGTGAATGCAGCCATTATGTTACAGCTTCCCCAGGTAATTTCATATCCACAGTTTCAGTTCAAGCTGACTTCATACGAACGATGTTTGCTGACCTCTGGATATCTTGTTTTCTAATCATCATGTGCCTTAACATGCTGGAGAAGAAAAACTGCTTCTCTGGATGCCTTTTGCTGCCATTGTTGTAGCTGCACTGATTAAGCAGATGTAAAAGTAATGAGGTTTTTAAGCCTATGGTCTTGATTTAAAGAGAAGGTTATGGCTAATAGAAATAGGCTAAAAGAAAACCTAAACTTATTTTTAGCTTGTGCAAGCCATCTATGAAGCACCCCTATGTAGTACTGTGCACAAGCATCCCACTGAAGCCTGCTCTCTATATTGCAAAGAGGAATTTAGATCTTGCTCTGCTATGAAAAATAAACAGGGATGTTGGGATTTCATCATCTTCTCAGTGATATAATTGCTCACTTTGAAGTTTAAATATCCCCTAATTGTGAGCTCTCTAATTACCCTAGAACTGGCTTTTTGTCTTTTGTTGTCAGTAATGAATTGTCTGCAGCTGGAATGCAGTTCTGGATTTACACTTGCTTATTCTCAGAGCACTCGGGACTGTCCAACAACTTCTTGCAGTAACTAGTGTTATAAATAGAGTGGTGCTCTGGTTAGTGATGCCCAAGTGGAGGTAATATGTCAAGCTGATACGTAAACTGTTGTTTTAGCTTCTATTCTAAAGGCATGGATACGTGAAAGCTGCTGTAGGGAGCCTATTTTGTAGGGGGTTGGACTTGATGATCTCTAGAGGTCCCTTCCAACCCTTACAGTTCTGTGATTCTGTGGAAATAGTGCTGCTTCTGTGTCCTAACTACTTTTTTTTTTTCTTTTTTTTCCCTATCTATGTATAGAGAATAGTGACAAAGAAACTACCTCACTGGAAATGCCCTCATTACCAGCTTCTGATGGGTTTCAAAATCCAGTCCAGTCTTCAGGACTAAGTTCTAAGATCTGTAATCCCACAAATCAATTACTTGATCGATCTGTCTTTGCCCCTGCTTCAACTTGCTTATCCAAACCTAGCCTCACAGAGCCCACTGATCCTGGAGCCGTCAAGTCAATTGAGTCTTCAACTGAATGCTGGATCACCCCAGAAAAAGATCATCCTCTTGTGTTACAGCATCTTTCCAATAACTCTTCCTTGGCAGATAATGACCGCTCTCTCCAGACAGAGGAGGTGAATTCTTGCAGTCCAGCTTGCCTTTCACAGAAAACACTTGAAGAAACATTTCTTGCTGACAGTCTAATGGAATGTAACGCTATAGAACAGGGCTGTGGTGAGGAACCTCTTTTGAAAGTGACAAAAGAAAATAGTTTGACTGACAGCCCTACTAAGCTTGGGCAAATAGAAGATGCATCTCTGCCTTCAGAACTAAAGGAACCAAAACAGAAGAATGAGTTTGCCATAAACCATCAGATGTGCAAAGAGCCAGAGAAGTTTGAGCATCTGGAGAAACAAACTGACAAAACTGACCCAGAACATCCTGGCAATATTGGTGGGGTTGAGAAACCTGCTGTGGAAGAAGAGGGCCATACAGCCAGTCAGCCAGGAAGTCTTCCTGCAGAAATGAGAGAAGGTAGACTGGAGAAAGCAGATCTTTCCTGTGTGAAGGGGTGTATCCAAACATCCTGTCATGTGCACATGGAAGTGGATACAACTGAGCACTCTGTAGCTGAAGTGCACATCTCAGCAAGCAAGCAGAAGTGGCAAGCCAAAAATGGAAGGGCATCTGACCTGAACTCAGATGCCTCTTCTATGGAAGTGGAGTCACTGAAGTCTGCAACTTCCCTGAGTGATGCAGTTTCCACCTCTGATGTGTTGCAGTCTAAAAGCACCAGTGGAATCCCCACAAAGTCTAATGAGTTGTCCAGTTTAACAGCTGAACACAGTTCTTCCCCCTCCATCATTCATCAACAGGACACAGATCTGGGTAGACATTTAGAAGAGCCGTGCTTCTCTCTTGCATCAGCCTTGAAAGAGCTTCACAAACTCCTGATCAGCTGTAAAGGAGAATGTAAACTTCTTACATCTCAAGTTTCTCAGCTGGAAATGGTTCACAAAGAGCAAGTACAACAGAAGGGGTTTTCTGAAGATGAGTGGATAGTGTCAGATCCAAATGGCCAGCAACAGAGTAGTTCCTCCTTTAATGTGAGATATGAAGGTGGAAAAGCAGAGGGGAGCCAGCCTTGTGATTCTGGCACAGAAAACGTTAGTGTTGGGTCTGTCACTCACATGGAATCAGCTCCTGGAGAAGACGCCTCAGAAATTCCAGAGTTTTCAGTTAATAATGATTTGACTGCAGGGACATCTGACCAACAGGAGAGCTCTGAGCAGGCAAAGGTTTTGCCAGAATGGTTCCAGTGTCCGACTTTGGAACAGAACACTGTTTCCTCTAAGCCTGCTTTGGGTGAAGGTACATCTCAAGATACTCAGGCATCACTCACAAAAGCACCTGAGAGAAGCAGCAGTTCTGCTCCTGACGGCCCAGCACCATTGGGTGGCTGTGAGGAACTACTGCCTGGTCCACCTGCTGAGTCCACTGAACTTCCCTTGGTTGCTTCACCTCCTGCTTTCCCTGCAGCTGATGTTGATCGAATCCTTGGTGCTGGCTTTACCACGCGAGAAGCTCTGGAGGCCCTGGAACAAGCAGATGGGAATGCAGATCTTGCTCTTCTCATTTTGCTAGCCAAGAGTATTGTTGTTCCTACATAACTGTGGAAGAGTGGGTCTTAAGACATATCTAAATTACACATTGTAACGTGCAAGCAGAATGTTGAGCCAGAGTTTTTAATTATTTGCAGCCAAAGTAACGTGTCTGTTCTGTTTCGCTTGTTAGATTTGGCCTTTTGAAAGAAAGAAAATGTCCTCGTATTGCGTGGATGGGACAGCTTTTAATTCATGTTTTTATTTAAATGCAAAATTTTTGAATAAGCTCCAGTGTTACGAATAACAGAATGGCAGAAGCCATTGAGATCACCGCCCTGCCCAGCACAGAGCAATTGTGACGTGAATTGAGTGTTGTACTGTGCAGCGGTGGCGAGGCGCACACGGAGTTGTGCAGGCACTGAGTCTGCTGTGACACAGATGCAGAACTGCTCTAAATGGGCTTTTGGGGTTGTTGCTGTTTTCTCTCCCCTACACCTTACAACCAAATGTCTGTGATGCTAATGAAACAATTGTGGCAGGTCCTACAGGTGTGTAAAACTTTGCAGAAGGAATGGGAGGGTGTCAGGAGTTTTTGGAAGCGTGGGTTTGTGTTTGCGTGGGGAGAGCTGGTGCCTGCTTTTGACAAACCCTCTGTGCTCCTGGGCTGTTGTGTTTAAGTTTACATTATGGGGAGAGAGGATGGAGAGAAAAAGGGGAGGGAGAGAATTTGGTTCTAGAAAAACTAAGAGATGTACTGACTTACTTGAAGATGTGCTGATATCAGTTGTAGGTGGGGAGGGGAAGTAGAAAGGGGAAAAGAGTATTTTACCCTTTTTTTTTTCCTTAACATTGCCCATATCCTGCTCCTCTCTACAAAAGAACGAGCTCAACCACTTGAGGCAAAACCTTGATGATGAAACCTCATAACAAAGCAACTGCATGTCATGGCTTTTAATTGCATCTATCCTTGGAAAATGGTTTCTCTGTGTGCTGCATGGGGTTGTGATAAGCAGAATGAAGAAATCTGCTTTGCACTAGTTTATCTGGATGTTTGGGGATGATCAGCCTCTCAGAAACTGCAGAAGTCTGCAGTGCCTGATGGGCTGCTAATTGAATACCTCCTGAAGACCGAGGGCTCCCAGGTGGGGCTTATGGAACACATGCTGACATGGCACCCGTGTCACAGCATCGTGGCCTTCCAAGAGGTCCCTGGGGAGCAGCCTGCCTGATCAGGATGTGCTGAGGCTGTGCTGTAGGAAGCCGTTACCAGATGCTTTTTTCTCAAGTGAACGACTTCGGGGGGTTTGCAGAGCCTCAAAATACTCCTGGGGTTGGGAAAGGAAAGCATGTTGAAATATGATACCAAATTTTAAGTAGGAACTTTCACTTAATCTCACTCATGAAACTCTGGAGTGGCTCCCTGTGAAAGCTTAAACTTTCTGCTTTGGAGCTGACCTGAAGTGACTGATGGGCAGTGCTGGAAACATGACTTGTCCGTCGTTCGGTTGTTGTTGTTGTCCCAGACCTCTCCCTGGTGTTTTGTTTTCCCTGCTCCTTAGCAGGTTTGCCTATGTGTATGCCAGGCTTTTCTTTCATGTAGGGTAGCGTTTAAAAACAGCTCAAATTTGGTTTCATTTGTGGGCCTGCAGAGTTGTGTGTCTGAGTGGTGGTCATCAGATCTTTCTTAGGTGCTTGGGTAGCCAAGATATCCGTTATTAAGAGCTGTAAGGCATTCCTCTGTTGGAAGCAGCTTTTGCTTGAGTTGTGGGTGTACCAGCGAGGCTCGCTGTCCCCAGACACACTTCACTTATATCCCACTGCTGGTGGTCTCAGCAGCAGGCACTGCTCTGCGCTTGCACTGGGAGCAGTGTTTGGCTCTTTGGGAACCCCTCTCCTGAGCAGCATCGGGTAATTCCTGCAGGCTCCCTTCAGGAGCTGTTAATGAGGCAGGATCACAGCTGTATGATCTCTGTGCCGTAGTGAGAGTTGGCCCCAGGTGAAGCTTGTTGGTACTCTGCAGTGAGCGCCCCAAATAATCGAGATCTTGTTCTGCACGGGGTAATGCTTGGACTGCTATAGGAGTGCAGACAGCGTCATCAGATCTCTCCAGAAGCTTTAGGAAATAAGATTTCAATATTAGGCCTATTCACATCTGATTCACTACCAAAAACTGTGAGTAGAGCTCAGCTCCAGAGCCTCCTCCCTGGAAGCCGTGTTTCTGCTCCTGATTCGTGCCGTGGGTCTCAGCGTGAGCCCCAGCTCTGACGTGTGCTCTGTGCACCACCAGCACAGCTGCAGGTTGGCCCTCCAGGATGCCTGCGGGTTCACTTGCTGCCAGCTCCTTGAAGCATCAGTGTTAGCCATTTGATGTTACACCCTGCTCGTATTTACACCTTTATGTTTTTGGAAGCAATTGCTAATAGCTAGGTGAAGAACTGCTGCTTTGCACCAAATTGGTTAAAGTCTCTAGTTTTATGGCCATGTTTACTTAGACTGCATATACAGAATTTGTGCTGTAAAGGCTTTAGAGCATCTGCCAACTCACTTCAGTGCTCAGTTTTATTCTTTGTCAAATAAAGGTTTTGAAATCTGCCCTGCCAAAGCTGTACTGAAGCACTTATCAATGCTGCTAGAATTTCTGCTGTTACTTTCTCTGAACTGCTAGAAACAAAACCTGACCCCCCCCAGCTGATGAATACTTTTATCAAGTTGTTCTGAGCCCGGTGATCTAAATCTTTGCATTCCACAGAGCCTTGCTTTGAGCGAATGGCTGTGTGCTGCCGGATTAGACAGTGATTTTGGCTTTTCAGAAGCAGGATTTACATTAGAGAAAATCTGGGTGGAGTTGAGTATCTTAGTTAAAATTAAATACAAGAGCGATTGCTGTCTAGAAGCTGTCTTCTGTTTCAGTGTGTGTCCCCTGCTTTATGCACGCATCCTTGGCCCAGCCTTTACCAACCCCTTCACCAGGCTCTCCTCTGGCCAGCAGAGTGGGAGTGCGTGTCTTTATTTGTGTGGTAGGCACAAACACTTTTTGGCTGGAGTAGGGGTAAGGATGTAATGCCGAGAGCTGCCCAGGTTTCGGAGCAGCTAAGTGAATGGACTCTGTGCTCAAATCGGGCTCTTTACGCTCTCTTCAGTCATAAGAGCTCTGCACTAAGCTGTCACCTCAGCTTGGCAGAATGATTTCCCTACGAAGTGGTGACCACCCTGGGTCCGCTGAGCATGTTCTGGGTATTTCCTGCATGCCCTGTGGTTACATACTGAACAATTGCTGAGAGGATAACCATTTCCTGAGAGACTGAGGGGATCTCCTGGGCCTCTCTGTGCGTACTCCTGTACATGAGGCTGCAGGCAAGCTCAGAGGCGATGAGCACTGACATAATACTTGGCAGTCTCTGGGCACGGAGCGGTCTGGCAGGAGGGGACGTTTCCTGGCGGAGTGGAGCTGTGCTGTTATTGTGACAATCTCTGCTGCGTTGCTCGTTGTGCTTGACTTTCTGTGTGGACACTTGGGCTCAAGGACTGCTAACCTTGTGCCTCCAAGAGATGTTCCTTCTTTCTCCCTCTGTCCTCACCCCCTTGCTGTCTCCTTTCCTCAGAAGTAGCAATATTTCACTTGGTTAAGTTTTCTTTCAGACACTATGCCATTAATGATCAAACGAAGGAACACATCCCTGGGGTTTCTTCACCAGACTTGGACTGACTGCCACACGGCTCCACAGAAATCAAACATTAATTAAAAGAGGCCTTTTGCAATCCTCTCTTGGAGACCAGCTTGGGAAATAGGGTCAGTTTGGTGTACATTGTTCCCTTCTGAAGCGTTCAACAGATTTCTTCCTGCACTGTGTAGATGTAGCTTAGTTGGTGATCCAAATGTACAGTGGTTTGGGTTACTCCTTGACTGATGCTTTTTAGCTTAAGACTTTTACAAACTCACGTAAGGAACTTGAGGGAATCAATTCTCAGGAATCCTACAGCTGGTTGCATTTGTGTCATTTACTGTTCTGGGCTGAACATACTGCAGTTGTCCTTGCAGGTGGCTGAAGGGGAGCGTGCTTGTGTCATCAGGAAATGGGATGTGGTTCTGCCCAAAGTAATACACACTTGATTCTTTTTTTGATTTTTTTTTTTTTTTTTAAATATTGAGGGTCTGTTTATCAACAAAATTGATGTGTAAAATAAATTTGATATTTAAAAAAATAAATAAACACTTTATGATAATCTTGTCTGATTGGTCTGTAAGTTGGCAAAGGGTGTGAGGAGCAGCTTGAGGTCCCTTGGGATGTTTGGCACAGAGCAGAGGAGGGTGAGGGGAAGCCCCATGGCGTCCCACTGTCCCTCACAGGGAGTGGAGGAGTGGAGGGGCAGTTCTGAGCTCTGCTCTCTGCTGGCAGCGACAACAGGGCCCGAGGGGACTGCATGGGGCTGCTTGGGGGGGTGAGGGGGGGGGGGGGGAGGTGGGGGGTTAGGGGCAGGCTGTGCCCCAGAGGGCAGCAGGCACAGCACAGCCCCACACTGGAACCATAAGGTTTGGGGTTGAGCAGTGTTGTGTGCAGCCAGGGGTTGAGCTCAGGGATCCGTGTGGACCTAACTTCCAACTCGGCGTGTTCTGTGACTCAAATGATGAGCACGGGCTTTATCCCTCCAACCAGTGACACCAGGACCCCCGGCAGCCTCAGGAGCTGCCCCACAGGACACGGGCTGCCCCCCAGCCTGGCTCCGGGAGCTGCACTCCCTGTCACACACACAGCTCCGTCCCCTCACAGCTGCACGCATTCCTTGCGGCACTCAGAGCACAGTGTGACTCCATCCAGAGAGTAGGGGACAGATTTAAGGAGAACAGGAGAGGTGTGGACATTCCCCTTCCCCCTCCTTCCTGCTCCCCTTCCCTTGCACACCTTCAGACAAGAGCTGACTGCTGCCCTGCTCCCACTCAGCCATTCCCCCTGTCCCCCCGCCACTGCATGCCATGCCATGGCCACAGTGCTTCCATGCCCAGACAGCAGGGCAACACAGAACCATAGAATGGCTGGGTTAGAACGGACCAGTCCCAAGCTCTGCTGCGGGCTTGCTGCCCCCACCAGCTCAGGCTGCCCAGGGCCCCAGCCATGGCCTTGGGCACCCCCAGAGATGGAGCACCCACAGCTCTGGGCAGCAGCGCCAGGGGACACTGCCCTCTGACTAAAGAATTTCATCCTAACCTCTAACCCAGATCTCCCCTCTTTCAGTTGCAGCCACTCCTCCCTGTGCTGTCACTATCTGCCAGCCTCCTTTGCCAGGCTCTTCTGATCAATCTATCTAAAGCAACCCTTCATGTTATTATCCACATCCCTCGCAGAGTTCAGTTCCATTTCAGCCTTGGCTTTCCTGGTCCCATCTCTACATGTCCAGATAGCACCCCCATATTCTTCTCAGGCCATCCATCCCTGCTTCCACTGACAATATGTTTCTTCCTTCCCCCCATTTGATCAGCAGGTCAAACCAGCCATGCTGGTTTCCTCTCTCCTCTGCTTCATTTCTTATATGTGGGAACAGAAGGCATCCTGTAAGAGCTGCCAGCTCTATTCTACTCCTCCATCCCTACGACAGCTTCCCAGTGGGACAACTGTTGAAAATGCCTTGGAAGAGGATCTTTCTGTTCCCAAGGTGATGACCTTTGCTTCTGTAGCCTCAGACTGACCAAGCGAACTGCTTCTCAGCCCCTTTGCTTGAGCTGCCCTGAGGCGCCCAGGCTGTGGTTGCCAGGCCTGGTATCCTGAGCTGCTGCACACACACAGAGTGCAGGCAGAGCTGCTCCATGAAGCCTATGGCCGCTGCAGCTTCCCTGGGGAGCGGGGGCCAAGACCAGTGAGTGGGATGAGGGCTCTCTTTCCATTTCCACCTGTGAAAGATGTGGCAGCTGCTGTGAGGAACCATTCTCCACAAAGCTGCTTCTGCTTTTCCCTCAGGTGATACAGAAGAGCACGAGCAAGCCACGAACCAAAGCTGTTCTGCTGTGACTAGTCCTCTCATTGGCCAGCAGCAGTTCCGGCCCGTCCCCGGCCTCTCATCCCAAGCCCGTCACCCGCCTGTCGATCTCAATCCCTCATCCCAATCGCAATCCCACATCCCCGATCCCAATCCCATCCCCTATGGCAACACAGCACCCCGAGCCCCCCCCCCCCCCCCGCCGCCCCGCCCCGCCCCCGGCCTCTCATTGGTTAGGGGCACTTCCGGTCCGTTCCTGCCTCTCATTGGTCAGCTGCGGTTCCGGCCCATGAGCGGCGTTCCTCAGACGGCGGCTCCGCGTTCAGCCCGCAGTGCCCAACCGTGCAGCAACCCGCATCTCAGGATGGGCTGCAGCTGCGCCCCAGTGCCTTCATTACAGAGAGGAGAATGGAGCGCAGCGGGGCATCTTTCCTCCTGGCATTTCCCACTGTCTGCATGTTGGCTGTGCCATGCGAGCGTCACGATGTGTTGAACGTCAGCGTGTGCGCGGCGGCACGTGGCTGTGTGCAGTGTTTGCACGTGAATGTGCGTTTTGCACGAGTGTTGGCACGTGACTGCATGCTCACAGGTGTGCAAAGGGGTTTGCACACGTGTGTGTGTGCGTGAACACGGCTGTGTGCATCGAGGTCTTTGCACAAGGCTGTGTGGTTTTGCACACATTTGCGTGCACGTGGATGCAGTGTGCACACAGGGCTGTGCAAGGATGTGCTTGCATGTGTGTGTGAACGCACAGCTGTGTGTGCAGGGAAGTCTTTGCACGTGGTGCGTGGTTCTGCACACTATGTGCACACAGCTCTGTGTGCAAGGGAGCAGCGGAGGTTCCTGGGAACAGATTTCTGGGAGAGGTGGAACTCACACGAGAGTGCTGGAGAGCACAGGGCCGGCAGGCACAGCTCCGCAGCACTGCACTGTGCCCAGCAGGATGCACAGCCTGCAGGATGGCACTGACGGAACCAGGACACGGCGCCACACCAGGCGCTGCAAAGGAAACACACACTTCCTCGACGGCACAGCCGGCTGCACGCCTCCTGGGTGTCCTCGCCTCTTTCCTCGAGACGGACTCGAGGCTTTCCTCTGCTGGCTGCAACGTCCATGCCCGGTAGCTGCCCTGAGCTCCTCCTCGGCACAACGAGCGCTTTCCCTTCCTCCAGAGGGATGTTTGTCCTCATTATGGCTGTGGACTCCTCCATGGGCACTGGCTGACGAAGTGCATCTCTGCTGGAGGTGCAGCACACCCAGCAGCTGCTCTTTCCTCCTGCCAGCACAGATGCTGAGCTTTTGGCTGCACCGCAGTCTCTCGTCACCTTTGCTTTGCCATCGAACTGAATCCTATTTCTTTGCTGTTCTGCTGGTTGGTTTCAGTTCTTTTTGTTTCTGTTTATTGTCTCTTTCTTCATTGGGTCACATTGGTTTGCTTTCCTTTGTTCACTTGGTTTCGTTTTCTTTACTGCTCTTTTGCTTTTCTCTCCAATGTCTGTTGCCCTTGTATATTGCTGCCTTTACTTCTTTTTTGTATTTCTCTTTTTTTTTGTGTTTGCTTTGGATTTTTTTATTTGTTCTTTTTTTGTATTTTTTGTATTTTATTATTGTTTTTCCTTTTAATCTTTTTTTTTTTTGTCTTATTGTGTCCTCCCTGGAGGATCGTAAACCTGTATGCAATGGTGTAGCGACCTTGTCAGGCCCAGTAACGCGGTGTGCTGCCATCAGCCAGTCTCTTAATAATGGTTTTCGTCCTGGTGTTGTATTTTTATGGTATCATAGGTTGTATTTCAAAGGGGTTTGTCTCAGGTGGAGCTTTGAGATCCAACTTTGAAGCTTTGTTTTCTGAATCACCCAGGTCCATTGATTTAGGAGCCTGGGTATTTTCTAATGCAGTGTTCTGGACTTGTTTTATAAGGGGAAGTCAAGCTTGATTTCTTTCCTGCTAATATGCCGAGTTGCTGCTTTTGTTCTCTAAGGTATTGTTTGAAAGCTCTGCTTGATTGAAGGCAATTAATAATGGCCACGGCACAGTGGACGTGGCCAGCTGTCGCTCTTTTGTGATCAAAATGTCTTTATCTAATCCATGGAAATAACCGGATGAGAGGGGGAATGAAGCGGGAGAGACACCAGGCACAGAAAACTGGATTGGTTAAAAGGACAATTTGAGTTGGGACTGTGTAAGGATGGGGTTGTGGCAACTCATAAAAACTGTGGGATTGAGGGTAACAAGGTTCTTCTTCAGAGATGCTCACCTTGAGCTGTAAGTCTCAAGAACTGCAAATAAATGAGGGTGAAGGACAGACTGATCCACTGAAAGCAGAAGTCACAGCTTGAGCCGAGAATGTTGGAGGGGCAGCGGCACGATTCCTTCAGCACAAGGTGACAGGAGTGCCACTGCTGTAGTTAACTGAATGGTCTGGGGCAGTCACCAGGGTCGACAGGGGCCCCTCGGCCCCTGGGAAACCATGGCAACAAATGACCTGAAGATAAGGGAGAAGTACAGGTTAGACCAAATAAGGAGGAAACAAGACATGCCACATGTCCATTGGTCAGAGATAATGGTAGTAGCCCTAAGGCACGGGGAAAGTTTTAAGAAGGGTGTGCTCCTTGCAATTAATCCCATTTTGCCGCTCACCATATTGGTGTCATGAAAAGCGTGCGAAACTGGCCGGGGCTGTCGGAACACTTTCACAAGGAGACTTCAGTCAGGGTCGCCGAAACAAAGGCGACACACTGCTGCAACGGTTTCTGGAGGGTGGGAGCCTGCAGGTGCTGGCCATCAGAGCCCTGCCCCAAAGCGTCCGGCTGCCAGCAGTGGGTGAGTTCACTGGGACTGTGGGGATGGGAGGTGCTAACCAGTGAGCCTTCAGTTTCCACTCCTAAATTCAGGCTTGAAAGCACGCTAAAAATGGGAAATAGATCTGGTGTAGGAAGGGGATGTCCTCAGCCAAGGTCCTGGAAAACTGGAGGAAAATGGATGAAACTGCAGATCTACCAACAAAAAGGAAAGCACATGGCGCTTCCCACAGCGGGTTTGTGGGAAGGTCAGCCTCCCTGTGTTTATATTTCAGCCATCGTTCTCCATGCTGGAGAGGCTTTACCCATTGCACGTGCATGGACAACTTGTGCTATAGTATCCTTGATCCAGACCCCATTTCCGTATGGCATCTCTTTCTTAATGGCCCGTGGTGTCACGGGGGCCCCGAACTGGAAATAACGCCCTCGTGGTGTCACTGTAAAAGTCTGCCAAGCGAAGCTCTGGTTGCTCCATCCCTGAAGGCCAGGCTGGGCAGCATGACCCAGTGGGTGGCATCCCTGCCCAGGGCATCGGGGTTGAGCTTCTAAGTTCTGTACCGTCCCTTCCAGCCCAACCCATTTCGCTGTTCTGCATTCCTGTGATGCAATCCCCCACCCTGGTGCAGTGCACCACAAGCGGAGCAGCCCGCGTGGAGCCTCTGCCCGGCATCCCAGAGCTGTGAGGTCGCGGTGCCCTGTGCTCTGCTGTGCTGAGCTCTCAATGCCTGGCTGTGACGCCGTGCTGCAGGCATCGCTCTGTGCGACTCACTGTGGCTGTGTCGGTGGTGGTGGAAGCATGGTGCAAGTGTGGGGGGCCATGGCCCCTGCCCGCCTTGTCTTCCTCTTCCTCCTGATGGCCGTGTGCTTCAGGGAGATGTGTGCTGCTCCATGGCGAGCACCAGGAGCAGGTGGGTGGGCAGAGACGGGACCAAAACTGAGCAGCAGTGGGGCGAGAAGTCGGGCTGTGTCCCCACGGCCCTGTGCTGCTCTTCCCTGGGGCTGCCTTCCGGGGCAGGGGTTGGGGGTTTGGGCAGGGGGTGACAGGCTGCACCACAGGAGCCGGGCAGGAGCCCGTGGCAGCACTGCTCCCCAGGCCTGGCTCCAGCCGTGCCACCAGGTCGGGCCGTGGCTCTGCTGATTGCTGGATAGAGCACAGCCTTCATCCTGGGAGGGAGGCGTCCTGGGGAGAGCTCAGAAAATGTGTGCTGGAGACACACGAGCGTTTTCTGCCCCAGGCTTGTGGTACTCCCCATAGATGACTCCCAGTTTCCAACACAGAGCCCCAGCCCACAGCCCAGAGGAGGAGACAGATGTGCTTTCCTCCAGGGCTTCGGTGCAGCCTTCCTTTGTGTGCATCAGAGCCCTCCCAGTAAGAAAGCCCCGAGGGGCTGCATCTTCTTCCGTGTGGTCCGTGAGGGATGCGGCACGTGGCCTGGAGGGAGTCTTGTGTGCCCTGCCAGGTGCCAGCCTGCAGCTCATCCTGGCTGCTCTGCAACTTTGGAAATCGGGACCCTAGTCCTTCTCCCAGCCTGTCCCACGACCCACATCCAGTTACTGCGGGGGTAGGAGATCACGCCGTGCAGTGGGTCCTTCTCTTGTCTGTTCTTGATTGTAGATGATGAGCTCGGTGCTCTCTTTCTGGATGACCTCCTGGATCCAGATTTCACACCTGCGCCCAAGGCACAACCCAGAGGTAAGTTGTGTCTGTTTCCTAGAAGGCAGAAACACTCATGCCCTCATAGTTTACTCGGGTGCAAGGTCTTCCAGGTCTGTCTGTGCCTTGAAGGGCTTGCACAGATGAGCCTTGAGTGTTTCTTTACTTGGAGAGCTGCCACACTTTGGTGGGAAGGTCACCACTGCCCCTCTTCAGCTGAGAGAGCCCAGAGCTTCATATTTGGGCTGTGCCATTCCCTGACCCACCGCCAGATCTTACAGGTCTGCCAGTGTTACAGAGGAGGCCCCCATGTGCAGTGGAAGCTCTCCTCACCTGTGTCTGATCACACTTGTGCCTGCAGGCCCTGCTGGCGAATCAGAACGGAATCCTGTCCATGAACCTGAGGGGAATGCTGGAGGTAAGTCACCAGGCTTTGTTTCCTTGATATTTGTTCATGTGTGGCTGGGATAGTTCAGTAAGGGTTGTGCTTTTCACCGGCCAGTGGGTTCTTCTCCACGGGAAGCATGGGGTGTTGTTGTTTCCTGGGTGCTCTGTGCTCTCGGCGTCGTGTTGGCTTTGCCTCTGTATCTCAGAGGTCTACCAGTGAGACAATTGAAAGCAGCTGAATGCTGTTCTGGGAAGTCTCTGAGAATTGTTTCCCGTGGCCTGGGGAAAGTATTTTGAAAGCTGTGGAATACCAGCCGTCAGGTCACCGGGCCTCTCTGCAGCTTTGGAACTTTTGCCCCATGCCGTTCATTGAGCCCCTTCCATCACTGCATGTCAGTAAGGAAGAGAGGTGGGCACATGCCATGGGAATGTCTCTCAGCTGTCCTTGATTCCAGCCGTGTCTCCAGGCAGCGGCTGACCAAAGCCCAGGTTCAATCCGCTCACTGAGACGCGGGGCGATCCCACAGCTGAGTCCCTGAGAGCTGTTAGTTTTCATTCAGGCTTTAATTTTCTTTCCGAGTGCCGTGTGACTTCCTGCTTCCTCTGTGGAAGAGAAGGGAAGGTTCAGGTCAGGCTGTGTGCAGAGTGCAGTGCCTGCCTTGCAAAGCCGTCTTTGCAGGCCGCTCCAGCCCTGAGCTGCTCCCGGTGCCTTGTGCAGAGCCAGCGGGCACCACGCAGTCGAGCTGAGGGCTGAGCTCCAGGAGGGCGTTCCTCTGGGCAGCCCCACGCGGTGTAAGTTCTGTAGGATCGCGGTGCCCCTGCGTGTACCTGGGAACTGTTTCCAAGGTGCTCCTGTGTGGAAGGGAGAGAGCAGTGTCATGAAGAAATCCCCTGCTTTAATTGCATCCCGCGTCGTTCCGATTGGGAGGATGTTTAATTAGAATTGCTCTGTGCTGCGTTTGTTTGCAGATGTGAGTGGAGGAGGTGATCCAGCTTCCCCTCTGAGCTCTGAGACCGAAACCCGGACGGATGGCATGGGTAAGTCACGGCTCTGTAATTCCTTGGAGAGCTCTCACTGCCTTCTTCGGTGCCATTTCATGGCACTGCTTCCCCCGTACGCTCCGCTGTTCAGCGATGCTGTTGTGCACGACTGAAACTTTTCATGGCTTGCAGAAGTGCCCCCAGGGAGGGCTTTGCTCAGTCGCTGGTTCGTTCCTGTGCTGGAGCCCAGGTGGATGCCCAGGGGTGGTGGTTTGTTTTACCGATGGTGTTGACTCAGCGCTGGTCTTCAAAACCTTGTGCTCATGGCATTTAACTTCATGTGTTCCATGCAGGTCTGGAAAGGGGAAAGGATGAATCCAACAGAGGAAAATTCTCCCAGGGGTCTTACCATCCGTGAGAGCTGCTGAAGGAAATGGACGTGGCAGCTCGTGGTGGGTATACTTCAGTCTGTTCACTGTGAGACTCGGGAAGCTGAGGCCTGATGTCCATGTGCAGGAGGGCATTGCTCAGAGCCGTGCTGCAGTGGTGTTCCATGCGATGCCTTGCAGGCACTGGGGAGCACCAGAGATGGTCTGCTGCCACTTCTGCATCCAGCCGAGACCCAGGGGCAGCTGTTCCCCCAGCACGACCATTACTTGTCAGAGCTGCTTTGTGGAGACCCAGATGGCTGCAAATGTCAAGTGCGGCGATTCTGTTAATACAAAGCCCTCCCTGCAACTGGGCTAGTTCAAGGCAGGATGAGCATCCCGAGCAGGGATGGCTGCCTTTGCTAATGCTGGAAACCATATGCAGATGTCGATTCTGGAGGTGTTCCTGTTGGAGCTTGAATTTCAGCCTGCAAGGTGCCTGGCTGTGATGGTGGAATGTGATGGTTGGTGATGCTCACAGCACAGCGTGTGAGTGCCTTGCTTAGGAGTTGATTCCTCAGGAGGTGTGAGAGGGTAGGCACCCTGCAATTCGTGGGAGTGCCCAAATGCCCGTGGCAGCAGAGGAGGTCGCAGGTGGATTTGGGGGGCGGAGGCCAGCAGACTTGGCCTGAGCTCGAGGTTGGGTCAGCTCAGGTGTGCGATGTGAGAACACATCTCATCCGACTGTCCTATGTCTTTCTAAAGGGACGAACACAGGCAGCGCAAACCACTGGCATGCCAGGAGATTTCTGTCCAGTGTCACCAGAGTCACTGGGTGCCAGCAGGCGCTTCCTGCCTGCTCTCGCACATCAGGTCAGCAGCTGAACCTGAGCGTGTGAGCGCAGAGCACATGTTGTAAAAGAGGCCAGGAGCAGCTCTCTGAAAATGGCTGAGCTCAGTGGGGTGTGGGGAGTTGTGCCAGCCGTGTGCCAGAGAAGGCCTGTGTGATGCTGCTCACCTCTCACCGCTCCCAGTTCCCATAGGGCTGTGAGCTTTGTCCTTTTGGGAACGAAGCGGCCCGAGGGCAATGAGGTGAAGGTAAGGTGGGACGTTGTCGTTTCTTCCAGGGCTGAATGCAGGGAAAAGCACAAAGGCTGCTGTTGGCAGATCTGTGCGGCAGCGCCACGTGGCAGTGATGGTGCTGCTCTCAGCTGTGCTGCTGTCTGCGCTGGTGCTGGCCTGCATCGCTGTGTCGCAGACGTGGAACAAATGCCTGTGAGTTGTCTTTTTCCCCCAACCATTTCATTGCTGCATTTGGCAATGAAGTATTTGTGGTGCCAGGATCCTGGACAGCCGAATCAGCTGCTGGCAGTACGCTGTCACGATTTATGTCGCAAGGTCTTCCAAGTTTGCCCTTATTTCCTGTCAGTGAGTAGGGCTTTCTGAAACTCATTTTCAGTGTGTGCAAGAGGAGAGAGAGAGCAGCAGAGCGAGCTCATCCTGACACCGGCTGGGAGGGAGTTCCAGCTGGAGATGAAGTGGAGAGTGGAGAGGCAACGAGAGAGATCCTTGCCCAAGCAAACAAGAACCTCAGCAATAGTTTCAGTCCGTTCCGTTCTGCCATCCCAGAGGCCAGAGGTGTTCAGACTCGTCTGGAAGACCTGGAGCGTGAACTCCAAGCCATGAAAAAGGTCCGTGGGAACAGTGGTGAGTGCTGCTTCCTGTCAGAGGATGGCCCTGAAAGTGAGAGTGGAGGATCAGTGGCAGAGCATTTGCCCTTCACCCTCTGTTCCCCAGGACGAGTTCGAAGATTCTTAGCTCGCCACAGCTACCGTCCTTCTGAGGGTTCTAATGAGGACCCAGAAAGCGAGCTTCCTCTGACCGCCGGACAGCACGTTTATGTCTTTGGAGATGTGGATGAGGACGGCTGGTTTCTGGGAGAGCTGACGGATGGCACGAGAGGGCTGGTCCCTTCCAGTTTGGTTACAGAGGTTTCAGATGATGAGCTGGACACAACGATGCCTCCCGAGCTCTGTGATTTCCTGCTGGAAACGGATGATTGTGTCGATGCAAAGAGTCCATAATGCAGCAACATCCTGTCACAATTCTTGCCTCACTTCATCACCATGTTTCTGTTTCACCATTGTCATGCTGCTGTACTGTGTTGCCATTGTATCCCTTTTATCCCATTGTCATCACTCTGCTATCCCAGTGTTATCTCTCCATTGTCTCATGTTGCCATTGTCACTGGCCCCCTGTTGTCCTGTGTCATCACTGTCACCCCATTTTCACCCTGTTGTCCCATGGCACTCTTGCTTTTATCCCATTTGTCCCGTATTGCCTTTGCCTTTGTCACCCCATCATCCAATTTGCCATCATCATTGTCTTCCCATGGTCCTACTGTTGTCCCTTATGATGACATCACTATTATCAGCCTGCAGTCAGTACATTCTCATGCTGTTCCCTTGTGTTGCCATTACAATTGTCTCCTTGTTGTCCTGTGTCAGAAACCCGGTTGCAGCTCCTCCCACACTGCCAGCCCCGTGCTGGCTGCCGGCTGCTCCAGCTTGAGCTGCTTGAGGTGGGGGAAGAAGTTGTACAGACAGCCCAGCAGCTCGTTGCTCTTCACTGTAACGTGTTCTCGGCACTGCCACCATCACCACACTGCCACTGCCCACAGGGACACAGTGACGTGCAGGGACAAGTGGTGATGTCTGTACCAGGTCACAGGCACTGTGTGTCCTCCAGGCACTCCTCGCTCATGGGCTGCACACCCACCTGTAGCTGCAGCGTGAAGTTGTGCATGGCCCAGATTAAGCCACATCACCATTCTTGTCACGTTGCTGTTGTCACTGCACTGCTGATCTCCCACACAGTGTGAGGGACTTCCACTACGGTGCAGCCCGGTGATGGACACAGCCACCAATGGGCTGGGTGACACCAGTGCTGTGGGGTTAAGAGACAGCATGCTGCTGTTGCAAACCAGGCAGAGTAGGGCCGGCATCAGGGGCACTAGAGCCTCCTTGGCCATGCAGCTGCCAGAACCAAAAGGTTCTGCCCAGATCCCTCAGACACATTTCCTGCTGCTGCTTCCTTTGCTTTACCCAAACAGGGCCCAGTGCTGTTCCAAAATGACAACAGCTGGAAAGTGTCACACATACTCCTCTTCGCTGTCACTGTCTGACAGGACAAGCTGAAGCTATGTGAGCAGATTGCTCAGGATGTTCACACCTGCGTGTCACCATGACCATGACATTCCACTGAGAGCAGCTCGGATGTCTACCTGTGCTCTAGGACTGCCCAGTCTGGAAAAGCCTTTTGAATTGTATGGGCGTGAAAGATGTCACTTTGCACTAGGAGAGTTAGCAGAACACACTGGATCCAGGAAGAGAACAGCTGGCTATTTCTCTGGACAGTTGGACCAAGTAAATATAGGGTGGATGTCATGAGCAGTGTCAGCAAACCCTGTGGCACTGCCTGAATGCAGGAGGAAAGGCCGGGTCCTGGCCCATGCCACAGCCGGCAGCAGCCCCGGGGCTGCCTGCATATCCCAAGCACAGCGGCGTGCCCAAGAGGACGGAAACGCCCCCAGGACGGGGCCGCAGCTGCCAGCCTGGCCTCCCGTTCCGTGTTGGAAACACTGCACCCCGCCGGAGTCGGGGCCAGAACCCAGCTCAGCCTGAGCCGGGCCGCAGGGAGGAGGGAGTGGGTTGGGTGCTGGGGGGAAGGGATCCCCGTGGTTGCAACCTCTACAGCTGCCCACCTCGGGAAAGGCAGAGAGGAACAAAACTGACAGTGGCGTGATGGAACTCTCAGTTTTATTGTGATGGACTATGATGACTTTGGATACAATTGGAGCTTGCACATGGCTGCTCCTGCGACATCATTGGGGCTGGCTGTTGATGTTCGGGGCCCAGCGTGGTACCCGGGAGCGGCTTCGCCCCCGGGCTGGTACCCGGGAGCGGCTTCGCCCCCGGGCTGGTCCTCGCCGCCTGGAGCGGCTCCTGTGGCATCTTCGGGGCTGGCTGGGGGTCTCTGCAGCCCGATGTTCAAGAGGGGAGCGGCTTCGAGTCCGGGCCCACCCTGGCTGTCTGGACCGGCTTCCATCCGCTGCTGTGGAAGCCCTTGAGGACCGCGGTGCTCCCCGTCTTGTGCATCTGTTGGTGCCGCTCTCAGCACTTTGGGTTGGTGCCTGCCTGCTCCCACGTGTTTGGCGTCTTCGGGGCTGGCTTGGAGAATCTGGGGCCCGGTGCTGCAAGGGAGAGCGGCTTCTTGTCTGGGCCCGCTGCCCCTGTCTGCACCGGAGGTTGTAGCCAACTGCAGGGGAGTTCCTTGAGGACTCTGATGTCCCCTGGCTGGCAGAGTTTAGGGCGCTGCTCCCGGCAATTGGGGCAGCATTATGGCTGCTCCCACGGTGTTCCTGGGGCTCATTAAAGCCATTTTCATCCCGGTGTAGACGTGGGCGGATTCTCCTCCGGTCTGTCCTGCGCTGCCTGGACAGGCCGCCGCTCTCAGGCACGCGGGAACAGTCAGCTGGCCCCAGTGGTGCCTGGCTGGTGGTGCTGGAGCTGCTCCTCTCTGGTGTCGCAGAGCCTTGGGATGGCTCCATTTCCTGCTGGCTGATGGTGCTGTAGCCAGGAAGATCTGAGTTGCTGCCGGAGGCTGTAAGGGGAGGCAGGAAGGTGAGCAGGATGGAATTACAGCCACGGGGTGGAACTGGCTCCCATTTGTCCAGGGCTAGAGGGATTTGAGCAAGGCCGCTCTGAGCAGCCGCTGCCAGGCCTCGCCTGGCCCCAGCCCAGCAGCACGCGGCCGTTTGCCTCTTACCGGTGCCCTCTCCAGCACAGGCGTTGCACTCCCAGCTAGCTGTGCTCTGACTCAAGTTGGAACAGCGCCGATGAGTGCCTTGCGCAGCACAGGAGCTGCAGAGGAGCAGCTGCCAGGGCCTGGGGAAACCAAGGGGTTGTGGCCATCAGGACAAAGTGATCTGAGCCCGGGAGTGCCCGGCACGGCTCTGGTGCTCAGTCCGTGCTGCCCCAGGCTGTGGCGAGGTCGCGATCCCACGCAGAGCCCCAGAGGGCTGCTGAGGCAACTCACCCCTCTCTCTCTGCGTGCTCCCTGCCGCGTGGGTAACAGCAGTCACTGGCATCGCATCTCCTGTGCCTCTCGCGTAGAGATGCGTAGGCGTTGTTGCCCTCCCATGTTGGTCTTCTGCCAGAGAAGGGAGGGAATGTGATGAGCACCCGCTGCTCCAGGACTAAAACTAATCCAAGGAATCCCTCCCCCTCCACCCCGTCTCCAGTTTGAGATTCCCAATGGTGCTGAGGGCCATGTTGATGGCTGCAAAGGACCAGGCCTGCTGGGACAGTCCCTTACAAAGGACAGCTCATGTGCCCTCACATCTCAAGAGCTGGCTGAAAGACACCAACCTGCCTGGGATTCGGATCCCCATAAAGAACATGTTTGGAATAAACTTGATGTCGTCTCTGCAGAGGGGGCACCGGAAGTAATAAAACCCTGCGTGCAGAGCCTGTTCCTGCAGCAGAAACACAAGCAGTGTGATTGTGAGCCAGGCCTGATGCTGCTGAGCGCCTGTGGTGCTTGCAGGGTGAGGGGAGGGCTCCTACCTGGATGCAGACCCGGTGGAACCAGGCGTGTCGGCAGGCCGGGCACACCATGGTGCTGTATGACCTGCCGTCCCCCACAGGGTCCATGCAGATGATGCAGGTCGTGTCCTGCACAGGTGCTGCCTCCACTGCCTGATGTGGGCGGTGCTCCCAGCAGAAGGACCTGGGGGAAGATGGGAGGGATGGGCAAGGTGAGAAGTGCTGTGAGAAGGGGCAGAGGAACAGGAAAGAGCCCCAGGCCTTGGCTGTGGCTCTGTCAGGCTGCTGGGAGGTGTCACAGCGCGTTCCTGGCTTCTTTGGCTGGTGCTGACAGCAGGGGTTGGAGGCCCACAGGCAATGACTGGCAGCCCTTACCTGAACTCTCCAGTGTACTGGGTGACGCATTCACCCTCCAAGGCGCAGGGGAGATGGAAGCTGCGGTCGCAGCCTGGATCTGCGCAGGTGATGCTGGCTCCCAGATTGCCACAAACGAAGCAGAGCTGGAAAGAGCAGAGCAGCCCCCATCAGCAGCAGCCCCAGGGCCTACGCAGCAGACCCCACACCTCTGGGCAGGGCACAGGATGGGGCAGGGCTGGGTGGCACTCTGCAGAGCTGCCTGGTGAACTGGGCTGGTCTGCAAGAGCAGGAATTTCTCTTGGAGCTGCTTGGAAGGGCTGGGATTGCTTTCTTTGGACCAGGCTAAGCTCACCAAGCCTATCCTGTCACAAAGCTCCCTGTTCTGGTCCAGTGCTCACCATCTGTTCTGCCTGCCTCATGGTGCGTACCAGATCTTCTGTGTGAAAACGTCTGTAAAATATGTCTTCCGAACGTTCACGAAGACCATTGGCAAATACCTGTACAAGAGGAAAGAGCATGATCTTGTTAGGGCAGGAAGCAGGGAATCCCTGGTCGGAGGAGGGTGTCAGGAGCCACGTGGGAACTCACCGCACAAAAAGTATGGTAATAGAATCCACCGTTCTCTTCTTTGCGCCCAAGGATGCTCGAATCCTCATCCACTCGGCCACACAGCACGCATGCTGGAGAAGGGAGAGTAACAGCAGTGAGCGCCTTGCGGGGCCAGTTGTCCCCGGGGGCTGCCCCAGGGGCTGCTCCGTGCCGGCCGTGCCAGCTGAGGGGCAGGGCCAGAGGCTGAGGAGAGGAAGAGGCATTGCAGGCCCAGCGGTGCCAGCAGCCAGCCACAGCTCAGCTGCGGCCGCTTGGCCAAGGAGCAGAGCGGCACGGCCTGCCCCCGCCTGCCCTCTCCGCCGCAGACAGACCCCCAGCCCCCCTCTGCCCGGCAATGGGGAGCTGCGTGCAGGGATTCTTCACTCTCACCTGGCTCCATCAAGCCGGCAGCCTCCTTTGTCTCCATGGACACTGTGTGTGTTGATGACAAGCACTAACAGAATCTCTGTCCCAGCAGTTCTGGGCTTCGTCTTCCGCGTGCCAACCTATGGGAGAAGCGGGACGAGGCTGAGTTCTCAGCTCAGGCCCCTGAGCGCTGGGGAACCTTCCTCCCTGGGCAGCTTCAGGCAGCCCCTTCCTCCCTGCTCACCTCACCAGGTCGCACTGAGCTCGGCCTGAGCCCCGCAGCCTCAGCTCTGTTCCGCACCCCGCGTGTCACAATGGCCGTTCCGTGCCACCCTCTGTGACGCCATCACACCTCACAGGGGCTGAGGGCACCCAGGCAGCAGGGCGGCGGCTCTTGCAGCCAGCGCAGGGCGAGGGGCCCGGTGCCGGACGCAGCCCCGCTGGAGCCCGGCGTGTTGGTGCTGCTGAAGGCACTGGGTGTCACGTGCACCCTCCTGGCCCCACCTGAGTGCTGCCGGGCCTGTGGCTCCATCAGTATCCCAATCAAGTGTTTACATGTTTCCATTACTAGATTGTGGTTTTGCCACTGTCCTGGTTGTATGATTTTTGTTTTCAGTATTCCACACCGTAACAGCACGTGAAGCACCGGGAGCATGTACTGCTAAGAAGTGGGGCAAGTAACCACAGCTGCAGAACAGCAATGCCCCTCCTCATACTGCCAGGTGCTTTTCACTGTGACCAGCTCTAGTCTCACCTTCCAGCATGCTGACCATGAACTGAAGGGTGATCTGTGCTCCCAGAGCAACACAAGGAGAGCTACTAAACGCCAGTAGCCACACTTCCACAGTAAGAGGGAAAGAAGTCCGTGGGAGATAACAATCCAGAAGCTCTGGAGAATAAAAGCAGCTGAAAAAGTTGCTCTTACCTATGAGCACCAGAGGAAAGCTTTGAAGAGGGACTTCCTAGCTCCTTATGCTCCAGTCCACCATATAACCTTACAGATGTAAAGCTCAAATCTAAAAGTAAACCTGATTGCAGTTAACTGCTTGGAAGAAGCTTGTAAGACCTGCCTGGAAATTGCCATTTCAGATTATAGAAGAAACTGATGAGACAAAGTCAGCCATGCTGATGAAAAGGCATCATCGCAGATACTTGAATTCAGCACATTCCAAGGTGACTCCTGTTCTGGACATGGAAGAAGAATGTGGAATTCTCATCTATCATACATATATGCCATGTCCACTTCAAAAAAGACAAACCTCCTTGCCCAGGAACAAGTTTCTGGGCTCAGTGCACAGATTGCTTTGGGCAAGATAAACGGACCTACTCAACCCGAAGTGTTAACAGTGGAGAAACAAAGCAAATTTATACTTAAGAGTTTCTCCATGGATTGTTGCTGAAAAGGAAGCAATCTCTTCTAAGTCATGAGACAAGAAAGCTGCTCACTCCCATTTCAGTTGTTTTTTGAACTATTTATTTTGAAGCACACTTGTGTAGGGAGATTCAACCAAAACAGAGAAAAACAGGGAGCTCTGCTGCAATACCAAATCCCAAATGGCTCTATCCATTAACAACATACACACGTGGACATTTTGTAATCTGCAGTGTTCTGCAAAGCACTGAAGTAACTGTTAGGTAGCATTGAGTTTTGTTATGGGAATAGCTATTGAAATTACTGCCCTGAACCGCCGCTCTGCTCTGCCCCTGGACAACTCCAGTTCGAGCATTTTGGGAGCTCTCTTAACAGCGCTGAGCCGTGCATCCTCTGCCAAAACTGAAGCAGAATTGTATCAGCATTAACATATCAGCTAATGAGACAGGCAGAAGTTACATGCAACCCCAAAACGTTGAAGTGCAATACTCTATTAATGAATTTAAGCTATGAAAGTGTCCAGTGCGATCCTCTGTACTACACCTACCACGTGAATGCCTTATCACCTCACACTAATTACTAATTAAGAGGCCCTATCGGCCTCTTAAGCCAAGGGAACCATCTTATACCTATTTCAGTGGAGAGCTTGTGGATGAGAATCAAGGGGCAGGCTGGTATGGCTGACACTGTTGTGGGAGTGTGCTACAGGCCCCCCGATCAGGAGGAGGAGGTTGATGAGACCTTCCACAAGCAACTGGAAGCAGCGTCACGATCCCAGGCGCTGGTGCTTATGGGGGACTTCAATTATCCAGATATTTGCTGGAAAAGCAATGTGGCCAGGCACGCGCGATCCAGACGGTTCCTGCAATGTGTTGATGACAACTTCCTGATGCAGGTGGTTGAGGAATCGACAAGGAGAGGGGCACTGCTGGACCTTATTCTCACTAATAGAGAAGGGCTTGTCAGGGAAGTAAAGGTCGGGGGCAGCTTGGGTTGTAGTGACCACGAGATGGTGGAGTTCAAGATCCTGAGTGGAAGAAGTAAAGCAAAAAGTAGGATTGCTACCCTGGACTTCAGGAGAGCCAACTTTGATCTCTTCCGGGACCTACTTGGAGCTATCCCATGGGCTAGAGTGTTAGAAGGTAAAGTGGCCTGTGAGAGCTGGTCGGTATTTAAGCAGCTCTTCTTCCAAGCTCAGGATCAGTGCATCCCTGTGAGGAAGAAATCGGGAAAGGGTGACAGGAGACCTGTGTGGATGAGCAAGGAGCTCGGGCGCAAACTCAAAGGAAAGAAGGCGGCCCATGAAATGTGGAAAAAGGGTCTGACCACTTGGGAAGAATATAGGAATGTTGTCAGGGCCTGCAGGGATGCGACGAGGAAGGCTAAAGCCCACCTGAAATTAAAAAGGTGGTTTTTTTTGTTTGTTTGTTTGTTGTTTTTGTTTTTTTTTTTTTAAAGTACGTTAACAGTAAAAGGAAGACTAGGAAGAATGTGGCTCCCCTGCTAAGTGACGGAGGTGTTCTGGTAACAGGGGATGCTGAGAAGGCGGAGATACTGAATGCCTTCTTTGCTCCTATCTTCAGTGAAAAAGCTCCCCCTCAGGAATATGAGACCCTGGAGGTTAGTGAAAGGTTCTGGGGAATGGAAGACCTTCCTTCAGTCAGGGAAGAGGTGGTCCGAGAGCGCCTAGGCAACACCAATGTTCACAAATCCATGGGACCCGATGGGATGCATCCATGGGAGCTGAGGGAGCTGGCAGAGGTGACTGCTGAACCACTTTCGGTCATTTTTGAGAGGTCTTAGAGGATGGGGGAGGTGCCTGAAGACTGCAGGATAGCCAATGTCACTCCGGTCTTCAAAAAGGGCAAGAAGGAAGATCCAGGCAATTATAGGCCAGTCAGCCTCATCTCTGTCCCTGAAAAGGTGATGGAACAGCTTGTGGTGGATGTCATCTCTAGACAACTGGAGGAAAAGGAGGTTGTCAAGAGTAGTCAGCACAGGTTCACCAGGGGGAGGTCGTGCTTGACCAACCTGGTAGCCTTTTATGATGATGTCTCTGGCTGGGTGGATGGGGGGAGAGCAGTGGATGTAGTCTACCTTGATTTCAGCAAGGCTTTTGATGCTGTCCCCCACGACATCCTTATAACAAAGCTGAGGAAGTGTGGGATAGATGAGTGGACAGTGAGGTGGGTTGAGCACTGGCTGAGTGGCAGAGCGCAGAGGGTCGTCGTTGGCGGTGCAGAGTCTGGTTGGAGGCCTGTAACCAGCGGTGTTCCTCAGGGGTCGGTGCTGGGTCCGGTCTTGTTCAACATCCTCATCAATGACCTTGATGAGGGGATGGTGGCCACCCTCAGCAAGTTTGCTGATGATACGAAGTTGGGAGGATTGGCTGACACGCCTGAAGGCCATGCTACCATTCAGCAAGACCTGGACAGGCTGAGAGCTGGGCAGAAAAAAACCGGATGAGGTTTAACAAAAGCAAGTGTAGAGTCTTGCATCTGGGGAGGAATAATTGCATGCACCGGTACTGGCACAGGGGATGACCTGCTGGAGGGGAGCTCTGCGGAGAGGGACCTGGGTGTCTTGGTGGACGACAGGTCGGCCATGAGCCAGCAGTGTGCCCTTGTGGCCAAGAGGGCCAATGGCATCCTGGGATGCATTAAAAAGAGCGTGGCCAGCAGGTCGAGGGAGGTGATCCTCCCCCTCTGCTCTGCCCTGGTAAGACCTCATCTGGAGCACTGCGTCCAGTTCTGGGCTCCCCAGTACAAAAAAGACAGGGATCTCTTGGAAAGAGTCCAGCGGAGGGCCACGAAGATGGTGAAGGGCCTGGAGCATTTCTCTTATGAAGAAAGGCTGAGTGAACTGGGTCTGTTCAGCCTTGAGAAAAGAAGACTGAGAGGGGACCTGATCCAGGTCTATAAATATCTAAGGTGTGGGGGGCAGAATGGCAAGGCCAGACTCTTTTCAGTGGTGAGTGGAGACAGGACAAGGGGAAACGGCTGGAAACTGCAGCATAGGAGGTTCCGCACAAACATGCGCAAGAACTTCTTTACAGTGAGGGTGACGGAGCACTGGAACAGGCTGCCCAGGGAGGTGGTTGAGTCTCCTTCTCTGGAGACGTTCAAGACCTGCCTGGATGCCTACCTGTGCGACCAGGTGTAGGGAACCTGCTTTGGCAGGGGGGTTGGACTCGATGATCTCTGGAGGTCCCTTCCAACCCCTACAATTCTGTGATTCTGTGATTCACACCTTGGAACTCAAAAAGATTTAGATTTAGGGAAAAAAAAAAAAAAAGAACAGAATCTGATGGCACAAACACCAAACCTGACACTACAACTCACCTTCTTTTTCTTGTAAGCCTTTTTCCAAACTGAAATGCTAGGTAAAGAGTTTAGATTTTTCTTTCTTACACTCACAGTCTCTCTTAATTTTTCAACTTTCTGTATCTGTGCCAGAAAAAAATAAAAGAATTTCAATTTTATCTCAAAAGTTACGTTAGTAGCAGAAAAAAGGATGCAAAGTCAGAAATGACATGTTGACTTCACACTTTAAGCAACTGCAGAAGAGAAAGAAGGCTTCACTGTCCTAACAGGCACAAATAAGGTAGAGAAGTGAAGTGACAGGTTCAACCAGAGACCCCTCAAGGTGCAGGACAAGCAAACAGACATGGCTTCTCCTATGTTGTTTCCTGGCCCACCTTTAAGATTTCACACACACAGCTGGGAGCTCTTGAAGAATGGAAATACCTTCTTTTCCAGAACTCACTGAGTTGCTCTCTCAGATAACAATTGTTTTTACTGACAGCTGGCTATGAGAGGCTATGGGTAAACAAGCATGATGTACTGTGCCTTACACACCAGTGAGGGAAAAAGTCAGCTAAGTCGATTCAGTTAGATCTGCATGTTTGTCATGACATTAAATGGAGGACAAGGTCACCTCTGGTTACCAAGCTGGTAAAGGTACTACTATCTCCAAGAATCAGCTCAACTTCCTCATCAGCATCAGAGTTGTTTTTTTCTTTTGTTTGTTTTGGTTTGGATTTTATTTGGTAAGGCTAAAAACCAGTTCTACTAAGATTCTAGGCTTGTCCTACCTGAAACCCACAGGACACACGCAGCCCAGCTCAGCTCACACTTCCGCCTGCTCACCCTGCCACATCATCTGCCTCCTGGAGCAGCCCAGCCTGGCCAAGGGGCACAGGGAGGGTGTAGTGCAGTGCAGACAAATAGCATGGCCCCATGCTTAATGCTTTGCAAGAAAATGGTGTCAGCTTTCAAAGATTACAATTTGAAAATATATGAATTTGGAAAGGGTCTAGAGGCCCAACAGGAGAATGATCCTGGGATGGAACAAAGTATTCTGACAGTTTTAAAGGATGTAGATGCAAATATATGTTCCTTTCTTCTTATTTTATTGATTTTTAATTAGGGAGAAACCTTGCTAACTTATCTTGCTTTACAAGGATTTGTTTTGCAAGCAGGTGTTCCACTGGGGTCTGTATCATGTGTTGGCCGCACGGATACAGCATGCAGGTGGAAAAAAATGCTGCAGACTCTGAAGAGAGTAAAAACAGGAGGGAGGCTGCAGTGGAGGAGAGAGGAAAGATGCACTTTGAAGCAGGGAATGCCCTGCTGATATGTTTTGAAAGAAAGGAAGGAAGGAATATTTCTGTTCTTTCCGGGGTGAAGTCATTTATTACTCTCCAAACAAAAGGTTTCATACAATTTAATACGGGTAGATACCGGTGTGTGAAATCAAACCAGTACAGGGAAAGGCCAACAACAGCAATCAGATATGCGTAGACTGGGGTTTGGTTTTTTTTCTGGTGTGAGAGCAACCTCTCCACAACGAATAACTAACGGTTTGGACTTCGCCGTGTGTACATATATGCAGAACGTACTACGCCTGGCTCTGAATGTTGTGTCCGTGCCTTCATTTCGAGCGACAGTTCTTTGTGGTGTGGTTCTCTGTGGCTCCACTTCTGCGTTCTGTGACCACAAGGGTAGAAGGGAAAAGCCTCTCTCAAAGAGGCAGCTGGAGATTCGAGGAGCGACAGGTGCTGTGCTCCCAGGGAGCGCATTCGGAGAAGTCGGGAGAGATTCTTTCTGGACTGCGGAGAAAATAACCCCCTCCGGAGGAATGGCAGCTGGCTGAATTCGGACGTTCTCCTCTTCAGAACAGCACGACTTCGCTCTCACGGCTCGGAAGTGGCACTCGCACTGAACTGCTCCGCAGCGGTTGCCGTTGCTGCCCGACAAAACGCGCTTATCCCCGAATGCCGCTTTCAGCCTCCAGCCGCGGAGTCGTGCTTCTCCATCGCCGAGAAACTGCGTCTGTCGCCGGCAGCTTTTTTCCGAGTTGCGGGCTCTTCTGCGCACGTCGGAAAGGAGCGGTTTGGACTTCGCCGTCTGTACATATATGCAGAACGCACTACGCCTGGCTCTGAATGTTGTGTCCGTGCCTTCATTTCGAGCGACAATTCACTGTAGTGCGGTTCTCTGTGGACATCATCATATGGACATTGATGATGGGATCAAGTGCACCCTCATCAAGTTTGCAGACAACATCAAGTTAAGTGGTACAGGTGATACAGCAGAAAGGGATGCCACCAGGAAGGATTTGAACAGGCTAGAAAATTTTTCCCCCAAGAAAGTAACAACGTTCAGCAAGATCAAGTGTATATATCACAGTATGTCACACATATACCAGTTTTCTCCCAAAGACGTTACGTTTTCTCTCAGATATATAGCAGTTTTCTCCCAACGATGTGATATATACCCCCGGAAATACCAGCTTAGTTATAAAAATACTGCCTTTTTTCCCCAGTTACCAG